TTTGTGGCCGGTCTGCTTCCTTTTGGCCACATACTAGAACTATAGCATCAGTTTGGGGTCCCTTGGCATAGTCATATGATCTAGAATATTGATGAGGATCTGAGTGAGCTTCAATATATGAGACCTCCTCGGGGAGTAGGGTTTCCCCACAGAAACTTACTATATAGAGACCTGGACCTGGGAAGAGAAGTAAGGGGAGGTTAGAGTCCAGTCTCATTCCTCTCGCCTTACAACTCATGGACCAGTGCTTCCAACCTTGCTAATTATCACTGGCAAGGCGCTCTTGCCATGCATTCAGGTCCATAGCCTTTCTCTTACGCCACTTCCGTATCTTAGGAGGTGTGGTCCCAGATGCTCAGAAGGGAGTCAGGGGCATGCTCTACTTGGCTTCCACCTCCTGCTTCTCCCAGAGACTGGGGCTTGCCGCTTCCATCCTCAGATCACAGACAGCCAACTTCACTGTCTCTGGGACCAAAAACTAACCGGTGCGGGACAGGGTCCAGATCTCCAGATGCCATGGGAGCTGCGGCAGGGCCTGGGGGACCCCGGGAAGTGGGAGATCAGGCCTTGGCTTTCCATGGCCAGGCAGTGAGAGCCTGGGGCACAGGGACTAGGGCGCCTCTAGAACTGCACCACATCCTGACCTCCAGCCAAGGCAGCTGCATGCCTGCCTGCCGAGCCCTGAGCACTAATGATGGTAGCAGAGTGGAGCTGCAGGACTGGAGTGACTTTGGGGTCTTAGTAGGGAGAGAAAAGAGGAACTTAGGGCTTACAAGATGGAGAGATGGATACTCCTGGGACACAGAGAAGGAAGATTATGCTAGTAAACCTCAAAAGAACATTTGCTCTCAAAGTAGAACCCCAATTTCCTACTTCATTCCCTCCAGTTCTCGCTACTCGCTTGTGTCCCCTCAGCTTCTGCCCCTCTCTGCTGTCTTCCAGTTCCTTCCTCTCTTCCCTCAGCATCCTTTTAGCACTTGCCCCACCTCCTAAGCTCCCATCTCTTCCAGGCTTCTCAGAGCCCCTGTGTCTCATGGTCTCTTTCTTCCCCCACAGCCCTGTATTGTGAGCTCTGCAACCATCCTAGTACCCCATTGCCAGGTCCAAGGCTAGGGTTTGATGGTGGAGCCTCAGAAGGCTTTCGCTGCAGGAGCTGAGTCGTGTGGTGGCAGGAGCTCAGGTCAGTTAAGTGGCAGTTTTTGGTTTGCAGGAGAACCACACCCTCAGCATCCAAGCCAGGTGCGTGGAGACCACAGTGTGAAAAGTTCCTGAGGACTGATGTCACCTGAAGGTGCCTCTGGTAGTGCAGACTCTGCAGGCTGGGCTGGCCCCTGGGGGCTGCTTCCATGTTGCCCAACAAGTAGGCTGCCTGGGAGGAGCCTCGCTCTTTGCTGTGGCTGAGCATGGGGATGGAGAAAATGGAGAGGAATACGCCCGGGGTCCTCGGTAGAATCTGTTCTCTTACCAGGTTGCCCCCCTAGGTTTGTCTCTTACCACCTGCTGCTGTGTCCTCCGCTGCTATGGTCACCACTTGGAGGACTCTGATTTCCACGAGGGCTTCTGGACCAGCTAGGACCAGCTAGGATGCATCCTGTACCAGTTAGGACCTATTCCAAGAGCTTTCTAAAAGTGCCAGCCCACCCAGAGACACAGGGCCAAAAATGAAGGCCTTTGTCTCTTATCCCACGCTCTGGTCCTCGATTTTGTGGTAGAGCAGTTCATGGGGTGAGAGCACACAACTCAGCCCACCGAGAAGTAGGACCCAACCGTGCCGTGTGCGCAGCCACCTCCTTCCCTGCGTGGCTCCCTCCGTCCCTGGTTTAAGGCCCTAGAGGAACACGCAGATCCCTCCTCTGAGCTCCTAGCGCTGTTAGGCAACCAGAAAAAAGAGTTGCCCTAAAAGGATAGGGAAAGGTATTGGGGAACCAGTGGGCCGGCAGGATAGGCAGACAAGAGCGACACTGCACACGGCTATGTCTGGATGGAATCTCCTGGCAAACAAGATGCCACCGATCTGCTACTGGGCACAGTGAAGCAGCAGCTTGGAGGAAAGCAGCTGGAGCCTCTGTGTTGCAGAGGGGGGTCTCTCCACTCCGCCATGGGTGGGGAGCAGTCTAGGGAGGAGCAGGAGCAGTGACTTGGAAGCACTGCTACATCGTCCTGGGTGATTGGATCCAGTCCCATCTCAGATCCCTGAAACCCATCTGCACAAACGACAGAAACCAAGGCAGTGAACCTACCACGCAGACAGAGCTGTATGAAAATGGGTCATAGTTCTGATTTATCATTCGTTCTCCTTTCTCCCAAAGCCCAAGGGTCTCCCCCAAACCTCTGGCTCTTTTTTGACCTGGGAATCTTACTACAGGTCAGGCGAACAGAATGTCACTCACCAAGGAGCTCTCACGGCCTCCTGCCCCTAACTCACCTTCCTAACACCCCACCTCCCAGCCCTTCCCACTGTACCCACTCCCTCCCCCGCTCACTCAGTCTGACCCTCACTCTCACTCTTCTTCTCCCCCACACCACTCCGCCCATCCTTACCCCTCCCTGACTCATCGCCAAGCCCCATTGACACAAACAAAAATTTCAGCACAACCCACTCCGACCGGTTTGGCTGAGGTGTGCAGCCTGTCATGGGGACAGATGGGTATAAGCGGATGCTTGGGCACTTGCAATAATGAACATCCACAGTTATGCACGCAGGCAGCCCTGTGTGTGTGCAGGGCATGTGCACCTATAGAGACACGGGTGGGGCACATGATGGAGGTACTCGCTAAATGTTGAATGAACGCCTGCAAGCAGGCGTGCACCCAGTGATGCCACTCAGACAAACACTCATGCCACAGATGCCACCGTGGCTTGAATGGCTTCTATTCTTAGGGCCCAGAATGTAGGTGGGAGGAGGGAAGGTAGTGAGGCATGAGGGGAATGGGCATTGACTGTAAGAAAGAGCTGAACCCGAGACACAGGCAGTGGTCTTGAAAATCTGTCCCAACCAACATTTTCTTGCCTCCCCAGCCACAGAATGTGCCTTCTCCAGGCTTCAACCCAGAAGAGGGTAGGAAAAGCATAAAGATGGGAGCGTATTGCCCCAAAAGCAGGGCGCTTGGGAGATAAACAGGATGGAGGGAACGAGGGGACAGGATTTGGACATAGGTGTTTGTGAGAGGAGAGAGAGCTCTCCACCTCAGTATGGGGTGGCTACCTGACCTGGCAGCTCTCTCTCAGGCCCGCACTTCAGAGCCACCTCTGGTGCTTACCAGGACCTAAACACACCCTTGAAAACGGGCATGGCCGTTGCTGCAACACCACCTGTGGGAGTGTCTGCCTCTACACCGGGCTTGCCAGGGCTCCAATTGGCAGGGCTGAGGGTCTCCTCCAGCGCTTTGCTGGGAGGGGTCTGTTGTGAATGGAAAGGCGGAAGAAGACCGACTGAACGGCTTTCCCACCCCTGTGCCTCAGTTTCTCCTGTGGTTTCCTGTACCCGGAGGGGTGAATCCGTGGGAAGGAGAGGAGCTCCTCTGAAAGCAGGTGATAGGATCCAAGGTGCGATAATTATAATTATAACACAGGATGCTTCTCCCTCCCATTCCCCCGGCCCTACTCCGCCCCTACCAGAGTGGATCTCAAAGCAGCATCGGGGTGGGGCAGTTCCCCTGGCAGAGGTGGGGACCTGAGCCCTGAAGAGGGGAAGGGGTTTGCCAAGGTGGAGGTGGAGAGAAACAGGGGACTCGTGGTGTCCTGCTTGGCTCTTGAGACTCCCTGACCTACTGAAAATAGCACCCCCCCAAAAAAAATAGAGCCTCTACCATGTCACTGTTGGGAGTTGGGACCTAGAGCCGGATCTGGGGTCACGGTCCAGAGACAGAGTTAAAGTCCAGGTTGCAACCCAGGTTAAGATCTCTGCTTTACGGACCCTACCTCACCACCTTGCCATGCCAACACTGGTTTATTCAGAAATTCTTGACTTTGATGAAAATGTGTCACATTCCAGTGGGGTGCTCTGGACTGTCCCAGCATGTGTGACTGAAAAGATTATAAAGCAACTTGCAGAGAGTTCACAGACCATGAATCTCATCTTGCCCCTCACTTGAACAGATTTACTGAATCCCTGGCACACAGCAGGTCTCAATCAATGTTTCTCGAATTGAAGCTTACAATTTAATTAAGGAGATAAGATGTGCACAAATTACGAGTGCATATGCTATAATAAAGGGACTTGCAAAGACTGAGGAAGAATGGAAGAGAAAGGAAGATTAATTCTGGGTGGGAGGAGCGGAGAAGGCTTCCTGGGAGCCGTGGCATTTGAGGTCAGCTAGAAAAGGGGTGCAGGATTCTGGCAGGGCAGGTGCAGCTGATGGAGTGGTGGGCATTCGTCAGTCAGTTGGCCTCTCTTATATAGGACTGGGGCCGGATTGGGGTGGGAGGGGCGTCACTTAAACTCTTTCTCAGAGGTCTCTGACCCAGCTGCCTACCTCAGGGACAGCGCCATCTGAGCAAGCTGTGGCTCTAAGCTGTGTGTCCCTTTCCTTTTCTCGGCTTCAGTTCTCTCATCTAAAGGAGGAAGTATATGGGTTAGTACCGCTGGGATCTCAGTTCTGGCCATCTCTGATCCTAGAGCTCCAAATCTGAGCCCCTCCAGGAGACTGGGGAATTTGTCAAGACCCCCAGGAGGCAGCAAGCCTGGCTGGGGTGTGGGATGCTTGGGTTCCTTCCCACCCACAAGGGCCTTGCCCTGTTTATCCTGGCCTGGCCCAATGCCTCCCTCTCTGAGACACCCAACATCTCCCCCCATCTCTATGCCCTCGCCTCCCCCTTCAGAGCCCCTTCCACACATGCATGGGTGAAGCCTGAAGCCGAGGATGGGATCCCACAACCCACATTAGGTCCTTCCCTCCTCCCTCCCTCCTTGGCGCCCATTAGCCAGCCCAGGCCGTGGGGGCGGTGGCTGCTGAGTCTCCGTGCCAGGCCCGGCCCCCGGAGACGCACCTGTTCTGACCTGCTGAGCAGGTTCCCAGGTTTCTGCCGTCGTTGTTGGCCACGGCGTGGGAAGCAGCTCTGGGGGAGCTCGGAGCTCCCCGATTACGGCTTTTTCGGGGGGCAGCTACGGCTGGGTGGGTAGAACGGGGCTGGGTCCCCTAGTGGAGACCCAGGTGGGAGAGGCAGGTGCCTCAGTGCCTTGGGACTCTGCAGCTTCCTGTCTTCTGGGTCAGCGCCTTATCCAGCGCTAGAGCCGGCTCCCAGGGAGAACTCGGCGGAGCTTCAGAAACGCTGGGCAGGTCTGCCTTTCAACCAATGCCCCTGTCCCTGGGAGCCGAGATGTGGGGGCCTGAGGCCTGGCTGCTGCTGCTGCTCCTGGCATCATTTACAGGTAGGACTTGCCTGAGTCATCAGGACCCTTGCTTCTGAGCCCAACCTGGGACAGACACGCACACACAAACACACGCACGCACGCACACACACATTCTCTTTTTCTTATACTCTGGACAGAGAACTAATCCTTCTCCCACCCCAGCAGCTACCAGCTCTGCACCCGGAAAAACCAGTGTAGCTCTTCCCCTTCAAACCCTCTCTTAGCCCCAGGCCAGGTCACTCTGTCAGGTAGTCCCCGACTCCCTCTGCCAAAGCCTTGCCTAGGCCCAGGCTGCCTCTCCGGGAATGAATACAGTGACCCTGGTGCAGGTGGGCAGGGAGGTGGAACCAGTGAGGACCCTGCTCAGTGCAGGGTTTCCAGGAGGCCCCTTGGCCTACCGCCTGGGCCAGAGCTGCTGTGTGGACTTGGGGCTGACTCAGGGCTGAGCTGGTCTCAGCAGTCATCAGGGTGCAGGAAGCCTGGAGCTCAGGGAGCGGCTGGGGTATTTCTCTCCCCTTCTTTTCTCTCCCTGATGCTGCGGCACATCAGGTTCGGGGGGCACCTGTTTGGGGACTCTAGGGAGGCTGGGATTCCTCTTACTCTGGCCCCTCCCTTTCCCTGGGAACCCTGTTAGGTGCCAGGGTGCTAATATGGGGGTCACTTACATAGCTGGGGGTCTAGGGTAGGGAACTTTTTAGGTAGGGTGTGGTCCTCTATTGTTCAACTGCTGTCCCTCATTTTCTCAACTAGATGCCTGTGCTGCTCCCCACCTCCTGCCGGTCTAATGCATATATAGCAGAAACAAATTGTAGGAATTTATAACCTTCAGAGTGAGGAAGTGTGTGTGTGTGTGTCTGTACACTGAGACCCCAGTGGGCTGTATATAGACCGATACCAGGGTAAGGTGTAACCAAGAGCTCTTTCTCCTGGGATGGATGAGGCCCTGAATGGATAGGACAGCTGACTCTCAGCACCAGGAGCAGCAGCAAGAGAGAGGCTCAGCTGTCCAGCAGGCCTCCCGCTGTGAAGCCCCCCACCCCCACCCCAGCTCTCACAGGAAGAGAGCAAGTCCTAGACATGCGCGTTGGTGGGGGTAGGGGCTGCCCTCATTCTGATCCTCTCATGGAAGAGTCACTGGCCCAGCCGCTAATCATAGGATATTGAGCTGCAACCCCTTCCACTACCACCCCCCCCCATCCACCCAATCCCATGTTCCAGACAGCTTTTCTTAACTTGCTTAGATCAAGAGTGTGAGGCCTGGTGGCTGGGACCAGGGACCCCAGCAGTCGCTTTGCTGTAGGATCTACCCACACCTAAGGAAAGCAGCCATGCTCTCTCAGAAGTTGGCAGGGATCAAAGAGATCACTGCTCCGACTCCCTTATTTTATGGATGGGAAAATGGAGAGAAATAGATAGGCAAGTGAGATCTGCAAGATTACTCGGTGTTAGAAGCATAACAGGGGTTAGCGTCTTGGCCTCGTGGCTCCTGCGTCATTAAAGAATACTACAGCTGAGGGCATCCCGGGTAGAGCCAGGCTGCCAGCTTCAGGGGAGGCGGTGGTGAATCAGACAGGGTGCCCACCTTCCTTTTTCATGCCACAAAACTGTTCCAAGAGAACTGTTCTAAGGAGACCCCCTTCTGGGTGGGAAGGGACCGTTGAGCTCACTCAGTGCCTGACTGAGGGGTGCTGTGGGGTACATGGAGAAGGAAGACTGGTTCCAGGAGTTCCCCAGGAAGCTGCTACCTCCTGAGAGTCACTCTGCTGTTGCTGCTGCTACCATCCACTCAAGGCTGCTCTAAGGGCTGGGGGCAGACCCCAGTTCCTAGCCTGAGGATGACATGGTCCCAACTCCACTGCACCCGCTATTCTATTTTGTGTAGGCGTCTCCTTAATGGCCCCCCAGGAACCTGGTGTGTTTCATGTTTGAAAAATCCTTGGACTTGGAAGTCAGGAGTCTTGAGCTCTGATCTCATTTCTGCTATTTATTTGCTAGGTGACAATCTTGGGCAAGACCAAGGTCTTCAGTAGACCATGGTTCTTTGGTAGACCAAGAACTAGGATGGGAGGGGCTCCAGGAGCCTTCCAGCTCTGCAGTCCTGACCGTGTGTGCAGCCCCCGGCTGAAGTGGGGTGCTGAGGTGTAGGAAGAGGTGGTCACTCTGACTGAGAGAGCAAAGGGGACCTTTCTGCAGGATCCGGCCTTCCTGGCCCTTCTCCAGACTTGTACCCCCCCCCCTTCCCAGCTCCTGGGCCCATTAGAGCTGTGAGCCTCAGGGCCCTGCCCCACCCTTGACAGGGAGAGGAGCCCAGCTTGGGAGGCGCCTGCGACACCACAGCTCTTTGTCTCTCCTTAATGGGATGAGTTTCCGGGTGAGGTCTCACCCTCCTCCCTCCCCCATCTGCTGCCCTGGGGCTTTTGGACCCAAATCTATGAGATAACCGCCCCCCCACCCCAACTCCAGTGCAATCCTGGGTACTGCAGATCTGTGAGTGCTTCTCTAAAGTCTGGGGTCTGTCTTTGGGGGGCCTGGATCAGCTTTCTGCCTGGGGTTGGTTTCCTAGAAAGGGAGGGGCCCCATCTCTGCTTTTCTACTCCTATTGACAGAGAGAGAGGCAGGCCCTTTCCTGCAGGAGCTACCCAAACCCAGGGAAGCCAGAAGGGGAGGCTACCTTCCCGCCCAAGGTGGCAAGGACTAGGAGAATCCCAGGGAAGCCCCATGGCCTTAGTGACCTTGGTCCCAGAGTCCCTGGTCACAGAGCTGGCGGGGAGGAGCTTCCAGTGCATGTGCCCGCTTTGGGACCACAGCCTCAGGAGCCTGCATCCCCCAGGCAAAGGGAGTGGGTGCACACTTCTAGAGGCGCAAGCCCAGTAAGGGGAGAAGGAGAAGACCTACGCTTTCTGGCCTCTCAAACTTGCCCTTGCATTGACCAAAGCCTAGGTGGGGAAAACCAGTGGAGATGATACGGGAAACTGAGTCAGGAGGGAGGGGAGTAGAGGGGCCTAGGGTCTGGATCCCGGAACGGAATCTAAGATGAGGGGTGACGTTCAGAAGCAGGGGCGCGTCCCCCGTGTCTCCTGGAGGGAGGCTGTGGAGAGGGCAGGTGGGATGGAGCTTTCACTGGAGCAGGGAGCTGCTGGCCTCAGATTTTCCCATAGGTTTCAGGCCGTCTCCCGCCTCCAAGGCTGATGTGTCCTGGGAGCTAGGGTCGAAGCTGTGATCTGGGGCGGGGCAGAGCTGGCTACAGTAGGGGAGGGGACCTCGTTGGTGGGGAGAGGAGCTCAGGAGTTTGAGAGAAGCTGGATTCTGGGTCTCCCACCCACAGTGTGGCTGTTGTGGTGACTCAGCCAGGCTCAGACTCTGGCTCCGGGGGGGTTTAGGGGACTTATCTGTGCTGGGAGCTGTGTCTGGGCCAGAGCCGGGGCTGCCTCAAGGCCCGTCCTCCCCCATTGTTCCTGTCTCTCTTTGTGATCCGTGGCATGGCCCCCCTCCCCAGACACTAATCTGCAGGTGGGCGCTTTGCCCGGGCTGGGAAGCTCTCGCTAATCTGGGGGGCTTAGGACAATGGGGGGTAAGTGAGGGAGGCAGACAGAGGGGGAGGGAGAATATTCTGGTTTTCAAAGTTCTTTAGCACTCCAAGGCCAAGGTTATGGGGGAAGGGTGGACCAGGAGGGCTTTCTGAGCTGTCCATGTCTCCTGCCCTGGCTGGCAGGGCCTCCCCACAGCTCTCTTGAGTGGAGGCTGCTGCTGTGGGGTCTGGGGAGGTAAGAGTTAACAAAGGAGAATGAGACCCTAGACAGCTTGGCCCCCTCCCCCTAGCCCCAGGCAGCCCCCCTCCTTTTCCCACCAAACCCGCACCAGACAACCCTTACCCCAGGCCTGGAGCTGGAGCTGGTTTTTCTGGTGGTGGCAGCAGCAGAGCCCTGACAGATTCCCAGGGAGAGGCCTCCTTGGGGGGCCAGAGGTGCTGGGGGGCCTAGGGGAGTGGCTAGAGGAGGGTGCGCGGGTGGGAGTCTCTGAGGAGCCAAGGCAGAGGGAGCTCTGGTTCTGTGCTGCTGGGGAGGCTAGATGGTAATTTCCCATCACCCAGAGGTATGGTGACCTCACCTCGAAGTACCTCTGCCTTGAGCCTGAGACAATGTGCCCTCAAGTCTCGGGTGAGCCGAGGAGGGATGCTGGGCGAATCTCCAGACAGGGTGCAAGGGCAAAGACTCAGCCGCGCACACCAGGGACCAAGGGCAGCTGTGACAGGCAGACAAGCAGAAGCCAAGATAAACCGACTTGAAAATATTTACTATGTGTGCAGAGTTCCGCAGCACCGGAACGCACACCGTGCTCACGGAGGGTGTGAGACACCCATGTAATGATGCGTGCAAGAATGTTCGCACGTAGACACAGACACACACCACGCACTTCCCTGAAGGTACGTCATGAACATATATATATATATATATATATATATATATATATGAAGTTAACCTCACATGCACAGGAACTAGAAAGACTGGCCACACCCTCGCCCAAAGGGACCCATAATGCAGACCATCCCATCCTGATGGGTCCCCTTCTGGGACTCCTATGCATACCCTTCCCTCTGGGTGCTGGCAGACGAGGAAGGTCCCTCGTAAAGATCAGCTATCTGCAGGTGCCAGCCTCAGTTCCCTTTCTGAGACCAGAGACCAGGCCTTATGCAGAAAGGGAAGCTGAGACCCAGGAACAGGGTAGGGGAGTAGCCAACCAGCCCAAGCCCGGAACGGAGGGCCTGTCTGGGAGGGAGCGGGTGGGGTACACAAAGGGCAGGGCCCCAAGAGGCCCGTGGGGGCCTGGCCAGGGGTGGGGGAGGCCAAAGGCAAGGATCCTGTCTGGCCAGTTGGGCCTGTTCTTTCCCTTGCGCAAGGTGGTGGCGGCTGTGGCTAGGCCCGCTGCTGTGTGGCAGCCTCTGAGTCACCAAGGCTCCTGACCAGCGTCCGTCCTGGTGCTCCTGGGAGGAGGGGTGGGGTAGGTCAGAGGGAGGAGTGCAAGGCTAGCCAGAGTCCACCAGCCTCAGCCAGCAATTTGCAGCAGAAGGGTCTATGGGCTTGGCCCGGCCTGGCCACCACATGCCCGCGGGGTGACCTCAGCAGGCAGATGGTGTGTCTCCTTCAGGCTGGTGACATCACCATGCTGACGCCAGGCAGGCACTGGGTGGGGGAGAGGAGGAGGAGGCAGTCCTGGCCTGCCCTGGCTTGGGAGCCTGGGCTTCTGGGTCCATCTAGCCCAGGACAGGGGTTCCAGGCCCAAGCTCTCTTTTCTCTTCTCTTACAGCTCAGGGACAGGGTGTGTGTGTATGTGTGTGTGTGTGTGTGTGTAGGAGGTGTTGCCCAGGCTGAGATGCTCCTACTGCACTGTGGATTTGGGGCAGTTGGCGGGGGGGGAGATCCAGTTTTACTGGGTTCTTCATTCTGCAAAGCTTGACCTTGACCCTTGGGAGTTGGGTTCTTGGACTCCCAAGCAGGGGGACATGGTAAATTGGGTCTCAGTTATGTGCTGGGTACCTCACATTCCTGCTGTGCCCTATGAAGGTGTTTTGTTTGTTTTTCGAAAGATTTATTTATTTGAAAGGCAGAGCCACACAGAGTCCTTCTATCCACTGGTTCACTCCCCAACTACCTGCAAGGGCTAGTGTTGGACAAATCAGACACCAGGAACCTGGAACTCCTATAGCGGTAACAGGAACTCACATACTTGGGCCATCATCTGTTGTCTCCCCCGTGCATTCGCAAGAGGCTGTATGTGAGGCAGAGGAGCCGAGACCCAATTCCAGGCACTCTGATATCGCAGCTTAGCCTACTGCACCACTGCACCCAGCACAAGATTGTGTGTGTGTGTGTGTGTGTGTGTGTGTGTGAGAAATATGAGTGATTTGTGGTGGTGAGGAGGCAGGTGGTTGACAGGGATAGGAATGGGGATGGGTAACGTGGCATCTGATGTTGTCCCAGAGAGTCTTTAGAAGGGTTTGAATGTCTCACTGGAGCACGGCTTGGGGTCCCTGTCACCTGCAGAGACACCAGTGCTCCAAGCAGAGGATGTGGGGAGCTCCAGCCTTTCTTTGCAGCCCTGCTCCCTGCTGGGAGGAGGTGCCTGGGAGGGGTAGGTGGTTAGCTGGACTCCCAGGCTTGGGCAGGGTGGGACCAACATTAGCTCAGGCAGGTCAGGGCCCTGGTATCTGGCCCTGCAGGTCTGTCCCGTCAGGTTCAGGCCCTCCCAGCTTCCAGCAGCATCCTCTCCCCTTCCCTCCCTCTGTTCCTGCCAACAATGCCCCAGGATCCCTTCCTTGGCCTCACTGGACCCTCCTGGGATGCTCTGGTGGGGCTTTGATTCCTCCCTCCCTTCCTTCTTTCTCCATCTGTCGTCCGGAGCTGCTTGCTTTGACAGTGAACTCAGCCAGCCAGCCTATCCTTCCTCCACCCCAAGGTTGCCATGTCAACGCCCTCCCTGCCCAGCCCAACTGTGGACTGCTCATTCTTCCTTGTTCTGCCCTTTCCTTCTGCTGCTGCTCATTTTTCTGTCAGTCAGTCAACAAACATGAATTAAGCACCATTATGTACCAAGAAGGGAGAGCACAGATCACGGAGTGTTAAATCACAAACTATGTTTCCACGTGTGATGTGAGACCCCTTTATGGCACTCAGTCTAGTTCGCAGTAGACAGGACAGTAAGCAAATGCCACCAGTGGGGTAAAGCGTTATGATGGGAGCCAAAGCCAGGCTTTTTAGGGGAGTATGGCGAGAAAGGGCACCCCAGGCTGCCCGAGGAGGGGGTGGGGTGAGGAGCCTCGAGGAGGAAGTGCCCAAGCAGGATGAGTAGGAGTTTTCCAGACAATGATGAGTAGGAGCTCCCAGACACCGGGAGCAGGGCGTTCCAGGCTGGGGGGGATGGTGTGTGCAAAGGTGAGGAATAACAGGGGTGTGTGGCACGCTGGCCGCAGGCTGGAGGGCACCTTCCAGGCCCCGAGTGCTCGCCATCCCAGAGCACGCCTCGGCGCTGTTCTCTCACGCTCTGTGCCACAACTCCAGACATACAGTTCTTCCCAACCGTGAGCTTCCCGGGGCCCTGCCTCCCTCACCTGTGACTCATCGGAGAAATCCAGGAGTTATCTCTGAGCCTTTCCTCACCCTCATCTCTCTTTCTGGTCTCACCGAATTCCTGTCAAGGTTCCCCCAGGATCCGCCTCCTGCTGTCCAGCCCAGCGCTGCCACACCAGGGCTGCCCCTGCAGCTTCCTGGTGCGTGACCCTGTCTTCAGGCTCCCTACTTGCTGCACATCACGCCTTGCCTCTGCCACTCCCCGGCTAAGGAACCTTCAGTGCCTCCCCCATTTCCTCTTGACCAAATCTGAATTCATTTGCCTGGCATGGAATGGCCTGGGCCATTTGGCTCCACCCTACCCCAGCCATATTTTCACTCCTGCTCAACACACACACACACACACACACACACACACCTGGCCATAGGCTGGGTCCTGTCCTCTCTGCTTCCTGAGCCAACCAGCCTCCCGACCTCTGCAGTGTTTGCTCACTTTGATCCCTTCCTTGGAATGCCTTTTCAGCCTCTACCCCTCATAATCCCAGCCAGCTCATGCATGAGGCCCTCCCCTATGACTCGGCCCGCAGTGACTGCCCCATCCCAAAACTGGCCTGCAACACAGCACTGAGCACTAACCCAGCCGCTGCCGTGCCTGTCTCCGTATGTGGCTCTTGCAACCAGAACTCAGCGTCCGTTACCTGCAGATGAGGTTCTATGATGCATAGCTTTGATTCCAAGTTCCTGAGGGCTACATGCGCTCCTCGTCCATGCACCAAACACCAGCCCTTCTTCTTCCCTGGTCCCTGGGCCTCTGATTCTATCTCGTCTCTCTGGGCCTCTGACCTGGGCCCTTTTTGTCTTCGGTTACTTGCTCATTCCTGTCTCCAAGCCTTGGTTCATGCCATTCCTCCCACATGGAATACCTTCTTCTCTCTGGGAATCCATGTCTCTCACCCTGAAGCCATGAAAAGAATGTTCTGAAGTCCTCCCGGGATGGACCTTTCCCACCCTCCGTGCCCCATCCCAGACAGTGTCGGTTCAGGACGTTTGCTGTGGCTCCTGGCCACTCTTCTTGAAAGCACCTGCTGCTATCCCTGTGGTAGGCTGAGCCTCCTGTGAAAGTTTGCTCAGGGTTGTCCCTGTTTCCGGGCGCTTCAATTTCATTTCCCTGAGGACTGTGAGCTCCCTGAGGGCAGGGGCTGGGGCTCTGGGCCTGTTACAACCTTCCACCTTGCAATTGCTCAGGATACAACCCTCGTGCGTGCGAGAGGGTGTGAGTCTTCCATAAATCGTCTGTGTGGCCTTAGGCAACCCACTTCCTCTCTCTCTCTGGGTCTCAGTTTCCTCATCTGTTAAATGCGATAATAACGCCTACCTCTTGGGAATGTTTTGTGGATCTAATGAGGTAATGAACTGAACGCGCTTTGCAAGCATAAAACACTCTAGGAGTTCCGGTGGCCTTTTCGGCGGTCACGGTCATTAAGGCGTGTGCTCCCACTGTTCCGGCAGCGCCCCTAACCCTGGCTGCCTTTGTCTGCCCCCTGCAGGCCGATGCCCCGCAAGTGAGTTGGAGACTTCGGACTTGGTAACGGTGGTGCTGGGCCAGGATGCAAAGTTGCCCTGCTTCTACCGAGGGGATCCGGGCGAGCAGGTGGCACAGGTGGCATGGGCTCGGGTGGACGCGAACGAGGGCCCCCAGGAGCTGGCGCTCCTCCACTCCAAATATGGGCTCCACGTGAGCTCGGCTTACGAGGGCCGTGTGGAACAGCCTCCGCCGCCGCGGGACCCCCTGGATGGCTCCGTGCTCTTGCGCAACGCTGTGCAGGCCGACGAGGGCGAATACGAGTGCCGGGTCAGCACCTTCCCGGCCGGCAGCTTCCAGGGCCGGCTGCGGCTCCGAGTGCTGGGTGAGTAGGGGCCGGAGCTGCTGTGTGCGTGCAGAGCTACCAAGACCCACGCCTGGGGTCGTGGAGGGGGAGAAGCGGGAGGCAGGGCGAGCAGAGATGGCAACTGCTGAGATGGATGGGGCAGAGGCAGAACAGGAATGAAAGAGGCAGTCCTGGAGGGGTGGGGGTCCCACCGGCCCACCCAATCTAGATGTCCTCTCCCGGTAACCCCCAAAAGCTGAGGACGATTCTGTGATATAGCAAGTCCTTCCTTCCGATGACCTGTTACTTTTGCTCCCTGGAGAAATATGGCCAGGGCTCGCTCTGTCTTCTGCATCACTGCTTTCCAGAGCTGAAGACCCTTGTCTTGGCCCTCCTCTTCCACGAGCTAAACCACTGCTTCCTGCAGCCCAGACACTGCTTCAAAGCCTCGGAGGCCATGGTGGGCTGCATGGTTTTCAAATGTGGTGTGCACACGTGGCCTGGGCAGTGAATGTGGTCTCAGATCCCAGTCCCCTTTCAAACCACCACTTGGCACTTGTGGGCGCTTGTGGTCAGCCCTGGGCCTGTGGTCAGCTTATGTCTTTTCCATTCTGGGCTCGGGCTGCTGGTGTTTCCAAGTCCAAGGCCTTTCCAGTTTCCCTTCATCCACCTGGCTGGCAGTCACACCAGCCTTGGAGCAGAAAAACTGGAGTGTGAATCGAGACTTTGTCACCTGGGAGCTGATGACCTGACACAGCTCCTTTAATCTGCCTGAACTTCAGTGTCCCACCTGCAATGGAGGGATAATAATACCTACCGCACGGGTTTGTTGACAGACTCAACCGAGATAACGTTTATAAAGTGCTTGGCATTCGCAGTTGGCACATAGTAAGTGCTTACTACATGGTGGCTATTATCGTCATTACTATCATAGATGATAGCTGCTTAGTTTTTTTAATTACTTCATTAGTTTTGTTTTAAAAATGACCCATGCTCATTGTAAAAAAAAAAATTCAAATAATGGAGAAAGACGCACAAAGTCACCTGAATCACCTGAAATCCCGCCCCTCATCTTGCGTCTTTGATGGTGGAATAGGAATAGAAGTGGGAGCCTGGAAGCTTGCACTTCTAGGGGACTGGGATGGGATGAGGCGGGGCCTCCTGACTCACACCGTTGCTTCTCCCCAGTGCCTCCCCTGCCCTCCCTGAATCCTGGTCCTCCTCTGGAAGAGGGCCAGGGCCTGACACTGGCGGCCTCCTGCACAGCCGAGGGCAGCCCAGCCCCCAGCGTGACCTGGGACACGGAGGTCAAAGGCACCGCATCCAGCCGGTCTTTTGCGCACTCTCGCTCTGCTGCTGTCACCTCGGAGTTCCACCTGGTGCCTAGTCGCAGCATGAATGGGCAGCCGCTGACCTGCGTGGTGTCCCACCCTGGCCTGCTGCAGGACCAGAGGATCACCCACACCCTCCAAGTGGCCTGTGAGTACTTGGCTGCTTGGGAGGGGAGGCACCGTGGGTTCCGAGAGAGCTGGGGATAGACACTCCGCGAGGCCCTGAGCCCGCCCAAAGCTGGCCAGCTTAGATCCTGGAGATCATACTGTGTGAGAGAACGCTTGTCCCTGGACAGCAACCTGGGATGACCCCAGCAAATCACTTGGGCCTCCCCCTAGCCAGTGTCCCTGTCTTTCCAAAAGAGCATGCCCAGCTTCACCTGTTGTTGAGAGAATCAACTACAAACACAGAATTGGAAGCACTTTGTGAAATACATAGTTTAGAGTTTGGAGACGGATAGACTTGGAACGAGCCCGCCTTCTACAATTTGCCAGCTGTTATTTAGTCTTGTTAGGCTTCATCAGCAAAATGAGTGTAATTATACCAACTTTACAGGGTTTTGATGAGAATTAGAAACCACGAACGCACAGCGTCTCTCGCAGCGCTTGGTGCATGTGCCAAGGGCGCTTGGTGAACAGGAGATACAGTTTTCCCAGTGATAGACATAAGCCCCTGGGGAGAGCAGACTGATTTCAGCTGAGACTAACCCAGCCTTTGGCACAAAGCAGGTCTTCAACCAATAGCCCTTAAGGAAATGAATGAACTGGGAGAATCATTAAGCCTTCCGGGAATCAGGCGGCGGTTCTGAAGCGCCTGTTCTGCAGCTAGCACTAAGCTAGGCACCACAGGTGGTGCAGGAAGAGTGTGACTCATCACCATGTTGGGGGACCCACGGGCTCCCTGCCTGCACAGTAGACGGACTGAGACTCTTGGCGCTTATGGCAGGGGACCCGTGTGGCCTGATGCTGTGATGAGGTGGGGGCTGAGCTGGGTTTGGGATCGGGTGAGTAGGAGTGTTCAGGGCAGCGGGAGGCCGATGCAGGCAGCGTGGGGGCTCTTAGAGGAACCACGCAATCGCGGGTATCCTTTCCATTCTTTCTCCTCCCACCTCCTGTTCCAGTCCTTGCCGAGGCCTCCGTGAGGGGCCTGGAAGACCAAAAGCTGTGGCACATTGGCAGAGAAGGAGCCACGCTCAAGTGCCTGAGCGAAGGGCAGCCTCCTCCCTCGTACAACTGGACGAGGTAAGAGCCTGGCCCGCCCCAGGGCCTAGCTTGCAGCTAGGGTCCTTTCTGCTCAGGACCAGGATGTCCCGTTCTGAGCTGGGCTAATATATTCTGAACATCAGATAAATTGTCACACATGTTCAGACCAGTGCAAGAATGTGCATGGTCACCAAATATGATTGGCTTGTCTCAGGGACTCTGAGCCACGTGGTCACTGGTAGGGAATCCACCCACAAATAAACCTGACTCTTCCAATGTTCACATTGTGAACCATAACACAGTCTTTTTTTTTAAAAGATTTATTTAAAAGGTAGAGTCACAGAGAGGCAGAGGTAGAGAGAGAGAGGTCTTCCATCCGATGGTTCACTCCCCAGATGGCCGCAACGGCCGGAGCTGAGCCCATCCAAACCCAGGAACCAGGAGCTTTCCCTGGGTCTCCCATGTAAGCCCAAGGACTTGAGCCATCTTCTACTGCTTTCCCAGGCCACAGCAGAGAGCTGGATTGGAAGTGGAGCAGCCAGGACTCTAACTGGTGTCCATATGGGATGCTGGCACTGCAGAAGGTGGCTTTACCTGCTACGCCACAATGCCGGCCCCTACAGTATTTTAAGTATTAATATTTTGTCTATATGTGAGTGCAAAAGACAAAAAGATACAGCTGACTAACTGCTGTTAAGCCAGCACTCCTGTATCCATCACAGTGTTGCCAGCTCCCTAGAGACACCCACCCACCACCTCTGCCAGATCCTTCAAGAAGTCTTTGGCTTTTTTCCAGAGTCTGAGAGGTCCAGAGAATCCGGGGGAGGTCAGGTGCACATGTGTGCTGTGCCAGACGTGTTCTCACATGTGAGCATGTGAGCGATGCATGTGGCCTTGTGCCTGGGGCTGCGTTCATGTGCTCTGCCGTTCAACACCACAGGTGTTGGAGCACGAGCCAGGTTTTCCCAGTCGCCTATGAGTCAGCTAGGAGTGGAGTGTCCTGTTGGGTGGACTTTATAACACGCAGCACTGGTCCCCAGTGCCGGATGACGTGATGCCTGTGGGAGCATGTGGGATGGCACGCGTGTGCGTTCTCCCCGAGTGTGTGTGGGGGGTGCCCGGGTCAGGCTGGGCGGCAGGGAGAAGGGGCCTCTGCCTAGACCTGCCTGGGGAGGGAGGGGCACCGTGGGAACAGCCGGCGGCTCTGGGTGACGTCATGGGGGTGGGGGGTAGAGAGCTGCCTGGGCACGTTGGGTGGTGGCAGCCTCAGCCTGTCCCAGCGGGCACCCTTCAGCTTCCCTGTCTTCCAGGCTGGACGGGGCTCTGCCCAGTGGGGTGCGAGTGGAAGGGGACACCCTGGGCTTCCCTGCGCTGACCGCTGAACACAGCGGCATCTACGTCTGTCATGTCAGCAATGAGCTGTCCTCCAGGGAGTCCCAGGTCACTGTAGAAGTTCTTGGTAAGCCTTGGAGGTGGCAGCCAGGCCTCGGGGAAGAGGGCTTGGTGGGGGCGACGGGCAGCAAGGTGGAAAGGAGGATGTGGGAAGGAAGTGGAGGGGGCTGTGTTGTGTGTTTTGCAGAGGATCCTGCTCAGGGGTGGGGTGGGTGTGTTTTGTTAGGACGTTGTTTGGGGGGCTGTGGGTTCTGGGGTGGGTCAGGGGGTCTGGGAGTGCACCTAGACAGCTGCCTGTCTCCAGCAGACCCTGAGGAAGCCCCGGGGCAGAAAGTGGACCTTGTGTCGGCCTCGGTGGTGGTGGTGGGTGTGATTGCCGCGCTCCTGTTCTGCCTGCTGGTGTTGGTGGTGGTGCTCATGTCCCGGTATCATCGGCGCAAAGCCCAGCAGATGACCCAGAAGTAGTGAGTACTTGCCGCTCCTGGGCGGGTTGTGCTAAGCCAGGAACAAAGAGGAGGCCGGCAGGAGGGAGACCTCTGCCAGCCAGGAGACAAGGGGCAGGGTGGCCCGACAACTGGGGAGCTTACAGACCACAGGTGAACAGGGTCTTTGGGGAGGAGAGAAGGGGCCTGGGGTCTGTACCACAGCTGGGTAGGGGGACCGTACGCCCTAAGGACCAGATCTGAATGCCCAAGTGTTACCAAGTACACGCACTCACGCACACGCCACACTCATGCCCTTTGACCACAGCGCCCCCTGTCAGCGTAGCCTGGGCCAGGCCGGGCTCACCCTGGGCAGCTGCTGCTCCCTGACCCCTGACAAGCAAGTGTCTTTCCTAGTGAGGAGGAGCTGACCTTGACCAGGGAGAACTCCATCCGGAGGTTGCATTCCCATCACTCGGACCCCAGGAGCCAGGTATGTGCCAAGAGTGGATGAGCGCAACGGGCATGGCCATACTGGGGGGATGGGGTTGCTTGTGCCCGGCCCCTCTGCAGAGCCAGGAACAGAGCCCTCCACCAGGTCTGGCCATTGACTCCCAGCTGGTGCTGGGCTCAGGTGGAGGTGGGAGGGTGTAGCTACTTCTGGGCTTGCCAGGGTCTCGGGGTTGCACTGGGAAGCTAGCATTGGAGCTGGGGCAGTGGTGGGGGAATGAGCAGGTCTGTGTGAAGAGAGAACAGACCTGTGGGGCTGGGGGACAGGCAGTCAGGAGGACCCAGGAGAAGAGGTGGAAGGGCGGAGGCTGAGCTCCGTTCTGACTCCTCCCCCTGCAGCCGGAGGAGAGTGTAGGGCTGAGAGCCGAGGGTCACCCTGATAGTCTCAAGGACAACAGTAGCTGCTCTGTGATGGTGAGGCCCCCGGCCCCACCGGTGTCCCCACTACTCTCCTCGGGCCCCTCTCCTGGCCCCAGATGTGGTGCGTCACCAGCCCCCTTACCTCTCCCTGTTGCCTCCACCCCGGTGGCCACGGCCCAGCCCCCAGCTCTGCTGTGCCTTTGCCCTCCCGTCTCCCCTTCCCCGTGCCTGGCCCCTGTGCCTCTGAGACAACCACAGCCCTTGCTTGTGCCTGACCTCTGACCCCATCACGACCCAACCACACACCCCTGCCCTAACCCGTCTGGCTGCTCCTGCCTGGCTGGCTTCCTGACAGGCCCTCTGCCCTTCCTTGATTGCCAGAGTGAAGAGCCAGAGGGCCGAAGCTACTCGACGCTGACCACGGTGAGGGAGATTGAAACACAGACGGAGCTGCTGTCTCCAGGCTCTGGGCGGGCTGAGGAGGAGGACGATCAGGATGAAGGCATCAAACAGGCCATGAACCACTTTGTTCAGGAGAACGGGACCCTGCGGGCCAAGCCCACGGGCAATGGCATCTACATCAACGGGCGGGGACACCTGGTCTGACCCAGGCCTGCCTCCTGCCCCCGACCTGGCTCTTTCTGCTGACATGGGGGTTTTCGGCTCACTTTGAGGGAGGGGGCCTCCTGGAGTGCCCCCATATCTTGGGGAAGACGCTTCCCACCCCACTGACTGTTCCACCTTTCCCTCCAACCTTTCTGTTCAGAGTATGTGTGTGTGTGTGTGTGTGTGTAGGTCACCGTGTACGTGTGTGTGTGCGCGCTCATCAGCGCCAGGTGAGCGGCCGCGTGTGGACCACACGGTGCGGGAGACTCCTGGGGCTCGCGTCTCAGTGTGGCTTGAACATCACGTGGCCGTGTGACCTCTGCCTGTCAATGCAGGCATTTTCCGCAGACCCCAGAGCAGTATTAATGATGCAGAGGTTGGAGGTGAGCGGTGAAGGGTGGGCCAGACCCAGGTGTGTGGGCGTGGCTGGGGCTGGAGTCTGGCCGGCCCCACTCGGGGAGCTGGGCTCCCGCTACTTGGGGAGCCCTGGGGCAAGTGTGAAGCAGCTGCCCAGGGGTCTGCTAGAGGTTCGGACTGTTCCAGAAGAAGCCCTCTGCCCTCTGGTGGCCTGTGCAACTGCTGCATGTAGTGCTTTCTGTAAATAGATCTTCCCAGGGGAGCCGCTCCCAATCCCCTAACACGAGAGACGACTCTTGAAAACCCTTGCTGTATCTCCACATTTGTTACTGGGGTCGCTTCAAGTGAGGCCAGCCTCCAAGGGAATTCAGCATAGCTGCCCTCACTGGGGCCCCACCCCAGGGGGTTAATTCCTGCGCCTGAGAGCGGGTGGGGTCTGCAATTAGGAGTGTGAGCCCTGTGGTGTTTGGCTAAGGGAGGAGCGGCCCCCTGGGCTTGGAGCTCTGGCCTCCTCTCCTGTTTTAGTCGCATCCACAGTTGTTTGTGGTCCCTTGGGGGAGTTGCTGGGACGTGGTGACAAGGGCTCCTGGTTCGCTGTGTGTAGGAGGGAGAGGGTAGTGACTGCAGACCAAGGGGGTGGGGCGTTCAGGCCAGGTGACCCAGGTGCTGGAGGTGAGGCTGTCCCCCCCCCCCCCCGGGAGGGGGTGGTTTCTAGGTCACTGATTCTGCCCTCTTCCTGCAGGTTCTCTGGGGTGGGGGGCTGGGGCTCTAGGAGGCTTGCTTTTACCCAGGCCACCCAAAGACACTCAGCCAGTGTTTCAGGCCCTGCTTGGCCTGAAATCCATGGGGTTTCTGGACCGAGGGAGAGGCTCACATCCTTCCCTGGGTCCCCAGGCAGCCCAGGACTTTGAGCGTGGGACACGGAGATCTGGGGCCCTTGTGTGTACATTTTGTGTAAATATGTGCATATTTGTACATAAAATGATATTCTGTTTTTAAATAAACAGATAAAACCTGCTCTGTCTGGCTCCTGTTTGGTCCCTTCAACCATGTGAGCCCTGACTCCTATGCTTTCCGTGTCAGTCTTGTCCTCCCTGTGGTCCCAAGCAGGGGAGGAGTTAGGATGCCTGTCACCTGTCGCCAGGAGGAAAAGGGACAGCACCGGCCTCCATGAGACCTCCAGCGTCTCCGAGTTCCCAGGTAGGAAGTGGAGCCAGGAAGCTCTCTCAGGTGGCCAATGCGTGAAGACTCCCAGCAACAGCTGTGTGGGCTCTTTCTACAGAACAGATACAGAAACTGAAACCCAAGTTCAATGAGTTCCACAGACCGTTAGAGCCAGCAGGACCGAAAGCGCGTCTCATCTACGCCCTTCATTTCCCCTCGTGTGGAAACTGAGGCACAGCGGAGTCACGTGGCAGGCCCCCGAGAGGCAGAGCCCGGAGCCCTCCTCTTGGGGTGCACAGCACAGCCCTGTGCCCCCTGCTTCCATGGGCCTCCACCTCCGACCCAAGAATTCTGGTCTCTAAGGGTGTCAGTCACCTGCCCAAACCCTGGACGCCATCACCCCACCCCAGGGCTCTGACATCATCTCCCCTTGACCAATGAGGGAAGACGCAGCCATGAGTGAGGATGTGAATGTCAGCTACCCCCCCCCCCCCGCACCCGCCCACCCATGGCCCTGTGGTTGCAAAGATGCTCTAACAGGAAGCGGGTTTGAGGCGCTGCACAGCTTCCTGCTCCCGCAGAGCAGAGTGGGGCAAGAAGGGCGAGTGCCAGGCTGGGCCACGAGACACAGCTTCTTGCCAGGGTCCTGGCAGCTTCCCCTTCCCCAGCCACTTCCGCGTGGCTGGGGCCCCAGAGGCAGGAGCCGCTGCCTTGTTGCCCAGGCCACCCTCCACCCCCAAGTTGGGAGCCCTGCCCCCCTGGGGCTGGGCCAAGCCCAGTGGCTGGCTGAGAGCTCATGGGGGACTGATAGGGCAAAGGTCTTGGGGGACAGACGTGGCTGGGCCAGAGCCCTGGGGCTCCGGCCATGAAGTCTCGGCAGAAAGGAAAGAAGAAGGGCAGTTCGAAGGAGCGAGTGTTTGGGTGTGATTTGCAGGAGCACCTGCAGCACTCAAGCCAGGAGGGTAAGGAGGCCAACTCAGAGCTGCTGCTGGGTGGGTGGGGAGGCACGGAGCTTCTCCAGGCGGATCTGGTCTGAGGGGCGGAAGCAGCTTCTGGGTGCTTCTGGGGAAGGGGCGATGGCCTGGGGTCACCGCCCCAGAGACCTCTGAGCTGGCGAGACCGGAAACGTGGCTCAGCGAAGAAGGCAGGGTGTCTCCCTTGGGTAACTCTCTGAGGCTGGGGTGGCTGACCAAGGGAGCGGTGAAGAGAGAGGATGGAGAAATTGGAACTCCAAGGAGGAGCGGACAAAGGAGAGGTGAGGAGGTGGCCACTAGGGACAGGAGAGGCGATGAGAGGAGTGGCTGAAGGGGCAATGGGTGGTCCTTGTGTCTGAATGAAGGAGGCAGGAGAAAGTCTCTGGGATCCTGGCTCCAGGGCTCCGGGGCTCCAGGGAGAAAGGGGCTTCCCAGCTGGAGGAGAGCACCCAGGGACAGACCCCTCTGCAGTCTCGCTGGGCCCCGGTGGCGTGTGCGGTGGGACAGCCTCCTCCCCACTGCCTCTCTGAGTCTCCTCTTATCCCAGTGCCAAGGAGGGAGAACTTCATTGGGGAGGGCAAGGGGACAAGCTGCTGAAATTCGGACCCTGGCCAAGTGAAGGAGACGGCCTGAGGCCTGCTTGGAAGCTAGGTGGTGGGGGGTGCAAAGGCGGGGCGGTAAGGGAACTGCTGTGTGCTGGCCAAGCTTCCTTGCTGAGTTGCCTTGGAGGGGGCTTGGAAGCCAGCAGGACCAAGGACACGGGGCTCATGGCCGCTGGGTCTGGCGTGGGGCAGTCACTCAAAACTGTCTCTCGGTTGGGTTTGAAATTGAATCCAGGCGTGCTGGCTGCCCAGCTTGCCTTGTTTTTTGGCCCTTGGAGCTCCTCCCAGACAAGAGCACTGCCGCACCCTACCCCAATCTGTCATTTCCTCTTTGTCCCCTCCTCTGCTCTGCACTGTGGTGCTGCAGTAGAGGGAGGGTGATGGTGGTTCCCAGCTCATTTCCTGCTCTTAGCCCTGCCCCTGCGTCCCCAGACACCTCCTTCCCCTTTTCTCCTCCCCTGCCCCGCCAGAAGGCCCCCATCTTCGCCAGCTTCAGTTGAGGGAAAGCCCTGGGCCCCAAGGCGGAGTACTCAACGGCCCGAAGCAGGCTCTGCGCCTTCCTCTTCTCCCTGGGCAGAGTGGACACAGCCCAGCTGTCAGTGTAGGCTTTGCTCTTTTACAACGGACTGCTCCTGGGCGGGATCACCCTCGGCCAAGGACCCCAAGGTTTAATTACGGTGATGAGCTTCTTGTGGCCCACCACTAATCCTAACTTGAAAGGTCCAAGCCACAGCTGGCCCAGACCCTGTTCTGGCAGCCCTCCTGGCCTCTGCCTGCCTTCCCAGTGGGTGAGGTGTGTGCTCCCCAGAGGGATAGACCTTGGGGATCCCCAGAGTGGCACAGGACCCCCCTTGTCCCCATTAGAACCTCACCTGGGTCCAAGGTTGAGTGATCTTGGACCCTGGAGCAGCGGTGGTGTCCTCTCCCCACCCCCATCTCCTATTACAGAGAAGTGGGGAGGAAGAGACAGTGAAGGGCAGATGATGGCTTTCTAGCAAGAAAATGAAAGCCCAAGCCAGAGAGATCTACTCCATGTTAACTTATCCCCCTAATCTTCTTGGTTCCCCCATCCTCACAACCTTGCCCTCTCTCAGGCCTCTATCCCAGGTCTTTGCCCCCCTAACAAGTCTCTTCCTTCTCCAACCCTCCATGCACCAACTTCTTCCTTTCCCTAATCTTCATTTCTTTGCTGCTATCTTGCTCCAGATTCCGGTTCTCCAGGTCCCTGAGCTTCGGGTTCTCACCACTGATCCCAGCCCAGTCCTTTGCCTCCATCAGCCCAACCATGACTCTCTTATCTTGTCTCCCTCATCTCTGTTTCCCCTACTGCCCCGCCTCTGACACTCCTCTCTCCTTCCATCTCCTGGGCCCATTTCCTCTATGGCACCGACTCCTGAAGGCTCTTGAGTGCCCTGTTTAACAGTCTTCTCTGAGAGTCTAAAATCCGCCAAGAAGGACAGGATGGAGAAGACCTATTTTGGTCACTGTTCATGTGATAAGGACCTGGGGATTTAGGTGATGGCAGACTATTTATGAGTCACCAAAATAAGGTGGTGACTGAATGAGTTGGTATAGCATTAAGTATGCAAGAACAGAGCAGAAACTCAAACCAGGAGGACCTGCCCCTTTCTGCATCCAATGCTGGCAATGGAGGTCAGGCAGATTCTGGCAAGCAAGAACAGGTCCTAAGGGATGGACAGTGAACGTTGAGACTGGGGCTAGAGTGAGGCAAGAGAAGGGAATAGTGTGCACAATTTAGGAAGCACCAACTTTCAAGGCGTGCAAGTGCCCCAGGTGCCTCATTCTTAAGGAGTGCACTGTTGGCACTTGCACGGCTCCGAGAGTGAACACTTCCTTAAATTTTGCACCCTAGATGCCTCCCTTTTCTCACCCAGCTATTGGCTATGGTGTGCAGGAGAGCAAATGGAAACCAGGCCATAAGAGAACAGTTGAAAGACTGAATGATAGTGAGTGATGAATTTTTAAAAATTATTTCCTTCATTTTATAGGGTTTTTTTAAAGCAAAGGAATAAGTTTTTTTCAATTTTTATTCAAAATGCAGAAAGAGAGAGAGAGGAAGAGAGATAGAGATAGAGAGAGGGAGAGAGTTCTCATCCCTACTTCACTCCCTAAGTACCTGCAACGGTTGGGTCTGGGCCAGGCCAAAGCTGGGAGCTGGAAACTCCATCCAGGTCTCCCATGTAGGTGGCAGGGACCCAACTACCTGTTGCCTCCTAGAGTGCACATTAGCAGGAAACTGGAGCCGGGAGCAGAGCAGAGCTAGAACTTAGACCCACGCACTTGGACATGGGATGGGGGCATCTTAACTGTAGGCCAAATGCCTGTCGCTGAAGACAAACCTTTCTAACAAAGCAATGAGCAACTCGTCTGGAGAGACAATTATTCCCAACCCCCCTCTCCCACTGGAAGAGTTTTTGCCAAGGCTCCAGGACCCAAAGGATGGAGGAATTGTAGAGGAATTGGCAGGTTGGAGTTGGTGACCTGCAAGCATCTTTCTGACGAGTGTGTATGCAGTGAGCTTTGCCCAGCTCCCCATTCCCTGATGCTTCTGCTTCTCAGATCCTCTACAGTCTGACCTCCCAGACCTGACTTCTCTTCCTCTGTCCTGTGTCCCCAGTGCCCCAGGTGCTGAGGAGCTGTGCAGAGTTTGTGGAGGAGTATGGAGTGGTAGATGGCATCTACCGTCTCTCGGGGGTCTCCTCCAACATCCAGAAGCTCCGGTGAGTCAGACAAAGCAAGAGGGCTCTGTGGCCAGTAGAACGGGGTGCAGAGGATCATGGGGAGAGGTGCTGGGGAGAGCAGAGGGGGATGAGGGGAACTGGAAGGAGCAAGGGTAGATGCCTGGGACTGTCTTGAGAGGAGCTCTAAAGCCTCCTTGAGAAAGGAAGAGACCATGGGCTCTACTCCCCCATCACACACACACCCTCCACCTGCACCTGTATGCATCATTTAAAAAAATATTTAGATACAATTAATATACCACGAAATTCACCGTTTAAAAATGTACAACTAAGTGATTTTTAATAGATTCATAAGGTTGTACAATTATCATCACTATCTAATTCCAGAACATTTCATCATCCCAAAAAAGGAGCCCCCTGTCCATTAATAGTCACTCCATGCTTCCTCTCCCCCAACGCCCAGAAACTGCTGATCCACTTTCTGTCTGTGAATTTGCCTGTCCAGGATATTTCATATAAACAGAACCATAAAATGCATGACTTCGTGTTACTGCCCCTTTTCACCTTGAATGTTTTCACAGTTTGTTCATGTTGTAGCATGTCCCAGACTTTGTTCCTTCCTATGGCTGAATTAATATTCCACTGCAGAGCTTTGTCATGTTTTGTTTATCCATTCATCAGGTGATGGCTATTTGGATTGTTTCCATACTTGGGCTATTGTGAATAATACTGCCATCAACATTCATGTACCAACTTTTGTGTGAACATATAGCTTCAGTTCTTTTGAGTATATTCCTTAGAGTAGACTTGCTGGGTCATATGGTAACCGTTGAACTTTCTAATTGCCAAACTGTTTTCCATAGCAGCTGTATCATTTTACATCCTACCAGCAATGTTTGTAGTTCTCCACTTCTAGTTTCTCCACATCCTCATCAACACTTGTTACTCTGCACCTTTATCATTATAGACATTCTGATGACTGTGAACTGATATTTCTTTTTTCAAAAAATATATTTTTTTCCAAAAGCGGTACCTATTAAATTTATATTTATTAAATAAAAGCTTTCTAAAAATATATACTTTTTAAAATGAGAAGCAAAGTCACAGACACAGTGAGGGAGAGATATAGAGAGAGGTCTTCCATCTACTGGTTCACTCCCTAGATGGCTGCAATGGCCAGAGCTGAGCCAATCTGAAGCCAGGAGCCAGGAACTTCTTCCAGATTTCCCAAGTGGGTGCAGGGATCCAAGCACTGGGACCATGTTCCACTGCTTTCTCAGGCCATCAGCAGGGAGCTGGATCAGTAGTAGAGCAGCTGGGACAAAAACAATTGCCTATGCGGGATGCTGGCACTGTAGACAGAGGCTTAATGTACTATGCCACAGTACCAGCCCCTGTAAACTGATATTTCATTGTGATTTATATTTGCATTTCCCTAATAACTAATGTTGAACATTTTTTCATGTGATTATTGGCTATCTGCTTATATTCTTTGGAGAAATATTTATTCAAATCCTTTACTCATTTTTAAAAAAGATTTATTTATTTACTTGAAAGGCAGAGTGACAGTGAGAGAGGGAGGGAGGTAGGGAGGGAGAGAGAGAGAGAGAGAGAAACCTTCCTTCTGCTGGCCCACTCCCCAAATGGCTGCAATAGCCGGAGCTAAGCCAGGCTAAATCCAGAAGCTCAGAACTCCATCTGGGTCTCCCACATGGATGATAGGGTCCCAAGTACTTGGGATATCTTCTGCTGCTTTCCCAGGCTCATTAGCAGGGAGCTGGATCAGAATCATTGTAGCTGGAACTTGAATTGGTACTCCACCATGCTGGTGTTGCAAGCAGCTGCTTCACCTGTTCTGTCACAATGCCAGCCCTTGTCTTCACCCTTTCTTTATTTCTTTTTTCTTCCTTTCTTTTTTAAAGATTTATTTATTTGTTTGAAAGGCAGAGTTACAGAGAGAAAGAGAGAGACAGAGAGAGAGAGAGGTTTCTTCCCTCTGCTGGTTCGCTCTCCAAATGGTGGCAATGGCTAGGGCTGTGCCAGGCCGAAACCAGGATCCAGGAGCTTCATTTGGATCTCCCACATGGGCACAGGGGCCCAAGTACTTGGGCCATCGCCATCTTCCACTGCTTTCCCAAGTACATTAGCAGGGAGCTGGATTGGAAGCAGAGCAGAAAGAATTAAACCACATGGGATGCCGGCGCTGCAGGCAACGACTTAACCTGCTGTGCCGCAGCTCCGGCCCTTTCTCTTTCTTTCCTTCTTTTTTTCTTTTCCTTTCTTTCTTTTTGAGGATTTATTTATTTATTTGAAAGTCAGAGGGCGTCAGGGCTCAATAGGCTAATCCTCTGCCTGCGGCGCCGGCACACTGGGTTTTAGTCCTGGTCGGGGTGCCGGATTCTGTCCCGGTTGCTCCTCTTCCTGTCCAGCTCTCTGCTGTGGCCCAGGAGTGCAGTGGAGGATGTCCCAAGTGCTTGGGCCCTGCACCCCATGGGAGACCAGGAGGAAGCACCTGGCTCCTGGCTTTGGATCAGCTCAGTGCGCTGGCCGCAGCGGCCATTGGAGGGTGAACCAACGGCAGAGGAAGACCTTTTTCTCTGTCTCTCTCACTGTCCACTCTGCCTGTTAAAAAAAAAAAAAAAAGTGAGAAAGAGAGAGACAGAGACAGAGACAGACAGACAAAAGTTTTCCATTGCTAGTTCACTCCCCAGATGGCCATAACAGCCAGGGTTGGTCAGGTTGGGGCCAAGCTGAACCCAGATGCTTCATCCAGGTCTCCCATGTGGGTGCGGTGCCAGAACACTTGAGCCATCTTCCACTATTTTTCCCAGGCCAATAGCAGGAAGCTGGATTGGAAGAGGAGCAGCCAGGACTAGAAATGGTGCCCATATGGGATGCCAGTGTCTCAGGCAGAGGTTTTGCCAGCTATGCCATCAACACCAACTCTCTTTCACTTTCCTTTTCATTTGTTTGCTTTTAAGATTTATTTATTGGGGCTGCTCTGCTTCCAGTCCAGCTCCCTGCTGGTGTGCCTGGGAGGGCAGCAGAGGATGGCCCAGGTCCTTGGGCCCCTGTACCCACGTGGGAGGCCTGGGGGAAGCTCCTGGTTCAGGCTTTGGCCTGGCCCAGCCCTGGCCATTGTGGCCATTTGGGGAGTGGACCAGTAGATGGAGGACCTCGCTCTGTCTTTCTCTCTCTATCTCTCTGTAACTCTGCTTTCAAATAAATAAAATAAATCTTAAAAAAAAAAAAAAAAAACCAACTCGCCTCAGTTCTACATTCATCTCACTCTCAGTAGTCCTTTAAAAAAAATAAAAGAAAGGGCTGGCACTGTGGTGCAGTGGGTTAACGCCCTGGCCTGAAGTGCCAGAATGCCATATGGGCACCGGTTCGAGACCCAGCTTCTCTACTTCCCATCTAGCTCTCTGTTATGGCCTGGGAAAGCAGTAGAAGATGGTCCAGGTCCTTTGACCCCTGCACCCACGTGGGAGACCCAGAAGAAGCTCCTGGCTCCTGGCTTCGGATCGGCGCAGCTCTGGCCATTGCGACCAGTTGGGGAGTGAACCATCGGATGGAAGACCTCTCTCTCTCTCTCTCTCTCTCTCTGCCTCTCCTCTCTCTGTGTAACTCTGACTTTCAAATAAAATAAATCTTTAAAAAAAGAAACGAAAAGAAAATAAAAGGAAAGGAAAGAGGGGCCAGCCCAGTGGTGTAGCGAGTGAAGCCACCGTCTGCAGTGCCTGTATCCCATGTGGACGCTGATTTGAGTCCTAGCTGCTCCACTTCCAATCTAGCACTCTGCTGTGGCCTGGAAGGTCAGTGGAGGATGGCCCAAGTCCTTGGGCTCCTGCACGCATATGGGAGACCTGGAGGAGTCTCCTGGATCCTGGCTTCAGATTGGCCCAGTTTCGGCCATTGCGGCCATTTGGGTAGTGAACCAGCAGGAGATGGATGACTTTCTTTCTCTCTCTCTCTGCCTCTCTCTCTGTAACCTGACACATTTATTTATTTATTTGAAGGCAAAGTTACAGACACACACACACACACACACACAGAGAGAGAGAGATCTTCTATTTGCTGTTGTATTCCCCAAATGGCTGCATCAGACTAGGCCAGGCTGAAGCCAGGAGCCAGAAGATTCATCTTGGTCTTCCACCTGGGTTTGGGGGCCCAAGGACTTGAGCCATCTTCTGCTGCTTTCCCAGGTGTATTAGGAGGGAACTGGATCAGAAGTGGAGCAACTAGGAATTGAACCGGCTCCTGTATGGGATGCCAGCACCACAGGCAGCAGCTTAAGTTGCTATGCCACAGCACAGCCCTCCTCCCCCTTCTTCATAGTGCCTTTTTTTTTTTTTAAAGATTTATTTATTTATTTGAAAGTCAGAGTTACACAGAGAGAGGAGAGGCAGAGAGAGAGAGAGAGAGAGATAGAGAGAGAGGTCTTCTATCCTATGGTTCACTCCCTAATTGGCCACAATGGCCGGAGCTGCGCCGATCTGGAGCCAGGATTCAGGAGCTTCTTCTGGGTCTCCCACACAGGTGCAGGGGCCCAAGGGCTTGGGCCATCCTCTACTGCTTTCTCAGGCCATAGCAGAGAGCTGTATTGGAAGTGGAGCAGCTGGGGCTCAAACCAGCGCCCATATGGGCTGCTGGCACTGTAGGCGGCAGCTTTACCTACTATGCCACAGTGCCGGCTCCTTCATGGTGCCTTTGACACACACAAAATTTTTAATTTTGATGTCTACTTTTCCTTTGACTGCTGTGCTTTTAATGTCATATCTAAGAAACTATTACCTAATCCAAAGTCACAATGCTTTATACTCAGCTTTCATTCTAAGAGTTTTACCCAAACATTTCACACATTCCCAGAAGCACACGTCAGGTCCATTCCCTGCTTCTACTGATTCCTGTACCTACAGCTATACCCCTGACAGATCCCTGTTCAGGCACAGGTCCACTTACTGTGCACATGTCTATCCCCATATCCACATCTAAATACAAACAATGCCATAAGCTTGCTACTTTATATATATATACTTTATATGTACTTTATACATACACACACACACACACACACACACACACCGGCATTGTCCTGCCCGGAGCCCCACACGGTGACCTACGACCCTGCCTGGAGCCCTGGAGCTCTCTCCTCCATCCCCCGGCCCCACCTCCCCGATCCTGACCCCCTCTGACCACTCTGCCTCTCCCCAGGCAGGAGTTTGAGACCGAGCGGAAGCCAGACCTGCGGCGGGATGTTTACCTCCAGGATATTCACTGCGTCTCCTCCCTGTGCAAGGCCTATTTCAGAGAGCTTCCAGATCCCCTGCTCACCTATCGGCTCTATGACAAGTTTGCTGTGAGTTGAGAGGCAGGAAGATAGGGCTCGGGGTGGCAACTCCTGTTTTGACATCCCAGGCTGTCACATGCTGAGTGGAGTCCCGGTGACTCTGAGTGACAGAGACCACAGTATAGCATTCCTGGGAGAAAAGACCCCTCCTCTCCAAATCTCCTAGTTCCTGCTACCCTTGCCCTCCCCTGTCCCCCTTCTCATCATTCTGCCTTAACTGTGTCCTGAGGCCTGCAGACTATGCCCAGGGCAGTTGTCAGGCCCGGGGGTGGGGGGGTGAGGGGGTGGGGGGGTCAGGTGATCAGGGCTGGGAAGGTGCTGAGAAAGCACCTACACTAGAGCTTGTCTATGCTTAGTAGAATGAGAACACCTGTTAGAAGTCTAAACTTTTTAAAGGATGCGCTTCCATGAACTGTAATTGGATGTAGAACATCTTTTGAATAAGAAAACAACTGCCAACGATGCTATCATGAATTGAGTAATACTTTTTAAAAAATATATTTATTTACTTATTTAAGAGGTAGAGTTATAGACAGAGGGAGGAAGAGACAGAGAGAGAGGTCTTCCATCTGCTAGTTCTCTCACCAAATGGTTACAATGGCAGGAGCTGTGCCGATCTGAAGCCAGTAGCCTGGAGCTTCCTCCAGGTCTTCCACATGGGTGCAGGAGCCCTAGCATTTGGGCCATCCTGTACTGCTTTCCCAGGCCATAGCAGAGAGCCGGATTGGAAGAGGAGCTTCTGGGACTCAAACCTGCACCCATATAGGAAGCCAGCACTGCAGGTGGAGGCTTAACCTACCACATCACAGTGCTGGCTCAGAGTAATACTTTTTTAAAAATATTTTTAAATGTTTATTTATTTGAAAGACACACACACAAAGAGAGAGAAAGAGAGAGAGAGAGAGAGAGAGAGAGAGAGAGAGAGAGAGAAAGCTTCAATTCACTGCTTCACTCTCCAAATGGTTGCAACATCCAGGGTTGGGCCAGGCCACAGCCAGGAGCCAGGAACTCCATCCTTGTCTCCCACATGGGTGGCAGGGGCCCAAGGACTTGGACCATCGTTTGTTTACTTCCCAGGAGCATTAGCAGGAAGTTGGATCAGAAGCAGAGCTGCTGGGTCTTGAACCGGCATCCCATATTGGGATGCTGGCATAGCAAGTGGTGGCTTAACCCACTGTGCCACCACATAGATCCCTTCCTGAACCCTTTGAAACAACACTTCAGTCCCTGGGGCACCCCCAGCGTGGGACCACTGATGCATCCAGTGCCAGAGCCTTACCAGTGGGGATGCTAAGGCAGGGAGTTGCCCAAGACCACTGAAGCAGCTAGGTGGCATAACCAAGATTCGGCTGCTGTTTTCTGCGAGCCCCAACTTCTTCCCACCATGTCAGTGTGCCTCGGAAGAGCCTGGGCACAGGCAGTGTGGGATGCAGCCCAGGTTGTTTCTGAGAGTGGTTTGGAGCGCCGAGGTGTAAGCAGAGTCCTGGCTGGACTGCTGACCCCAGCTTCTCGGACCTTACTCCCCTATCAGGAGGCGGTGGCGGTGCAACTGGAGCCCGAGCGCTTGGTCAAGATCCTAGAGGTGCTGCGAGAACTGCCCATCCCAAACTACAGGTGTGTGGGGCTGTACTTCCTGTACCTGAGGGTCCTGGCTGCCCCGCACGGCCAAGTCTCACTCCACCAAGAGCCTGGACTTGTCCCAGCCCGCCACTCACCTGGAGTGTCCCCTGTGTGAGCACCGCCTCCTCCCCCCTTTCTGCAGGACGCTGGAGTTCCTCATGCGGCACTTGGTGCACATGGCCTCGTTCAGCGCCCAGACCAACATGCACGCCCGCAACTTGGCCATCGTGTGGGCCCCCAACCTGCTGAGGTGAGCAGCCTGCAGGGACCCTGGGCAAGACTGGCCTCTGGAAGGCTGGTCCCAGGATGGAGTGTGGCTGAGTGGGTACCCTGGAGAAGGGCATGGGGTCTTTTTTTTTTTTTTTTTTTTTTTGACAGGCAGAGTTAGACAGTGATTTCGTTGGTTCACCCCTCAAGTGGCCGTAGTGGCACACTTGTGGTTGGCGCACTGTGCCAATCCAAAGCCAGGACTCAGGTGCTTCCTCCTGGTCTCCCATGCGGGTGCAGGGCCCAAGGACCTGGGCCATCCTCCACTGCACTCCCAGGCCACAGCAGAGAGCTGGACTGGAAGAGCGGCAACCGGGACAGAATCTGGCACCCCGACCAGGCCTAGAAACCGGGGTGCCGGCGCCACAGGTGGAGGATTAGCCTAGTGAGCCACAGCGCTGGCCATGGCATGGGGGGGTCTTACAAAGCTCATTGAGAAAGGCAGGCTCAGGCTTACATGGAGAGGACTGGGGCCCACCCACTTGAGGCCCTTTTCAGGACCTTTTTCTTTTCCTGTACCATGTTACTGAGCACAGAGACTGGGACATAAGTCTTTGCCATCTGTTTGTTGAGCAAACATCTTGCAGTTAGTTGGAGGTCTAGGCCTGTGTCTCACTCACTGTGGTACAAGGCAGACTATGAGAAGTCCTGTAACTCATTACTATAAACAAACATCCTCCTATGCCAATGAAGACGGAGTAATCCTGAGGAGGGTGTCCAAGAAGGCTTCCGAGAGGAGGTGGCATTTGACACTTGGATCATGCATCAATGGTTTAAGAGGTGGAGATGGGGTTAAGCATGCAAGTGAGAAAGTATAAGAGATTTGGGAGGAGAGTCTGATGGAGAAGTGATGGGACTGAGGGAAGAATCCCTCCACCTCTCCACAGGTCCAAAGACATAGAGGCCTCAGGCTTCAACGGGACTGCAGCCTTCATGGAGGTGCGTGTGCAGTCCATCGTCGTGGAGTTCATCCTCACCCACGTGGACCAGCTCTTTGGGGGTGCCTCCCTCTCTGGTCAGTGTCCTTCCTGCGCACTACATCGCTGCTCTCTGGCTGGGGAGGCGTGCCGGAACTACAGAGGTCCTCCAAGATCAACTAGTTCAGGTTCTGTTTCACGGATGAGAAAAGTCAGTCTTACAGAGGGAACCCCAGAGAGACAGTGGTGCAGTCAGGACTTGAGAGGTGACTTCTGGTGTCGGCCTAGTGCATAGCTTGATCTCTAAATCACTGCCCTGGCTCCCAAGGCTAGTGATGATACACACCTGCCCCAGCCCACCAGGCCAGTGTCCTAGCCTCTTCTGGCCCTCTTTCCCCATAAGAACACCATCTTGAGGAGCTGGAAATGGAGGGCCTGTCTCCAGGGCCATTGGAGGGTAACCCTAACCAGGTTGTTGGTGAGGGAAAAAGAAGGGCTGGGCGTCCAAAGTTCTCCTTTTGGCTCTGTTCTTGGCTGGCCAATTCCTTTTCTTTCCCCAGGTGACGAGGTGAACAGTGGCTGGAGATCACTTCCAGGTGCCCGAGTGTCGAGTAACCCTGAGGACCTCATGCCCAGGTCCCTGCCCTACCACCTGCCTAGCATCCTGCAGGCTGGGGATGGACCCCCACAGATGCGGCCCTACCACACTATCATTGAGATTGCGGAGCACAAGTAAGGCCCCTCCCCATACTCTCCTTGCCTGCACTGACCACCAGCCTCCAGGCTCCAATTATTTCTCTATCCCCTGCAGGAGGAAAGGGTCTTTGAAGGTCAGAAAGTGGAGGTCTATCTTTAATCTTGGTCGCTCGGGCCATGAGACAAAGCGTAAATTTCCACGGGGTGCTGAGGACAGGGGTAAGTCTAGGGAAATGGGGGAGCTTTGCTGAGGGGGTGCAGTGCCCTGGCTCCACTACACATCCCTGTCTTGCAGAGGACAAGTCCAGTAAGGGGACCCTGAGGCCAGCCAAGAGCATGGACTCACTGAGTGCTGCAGCTGGGACCAGCGATGGTGAGTATAGGTGTGTGTTCTTGTGCGTGTACGTGTGTGTACTGTGTGACCAGTTGCGTGGCCAACTGTGTTCAATAATTTCAAAAATATTTAATGAGTGCCTATCATACAGCAGCCATAGTGCCAGATGCTAAGCAGGGCGTGGTGAGTGCATCGTGTAGTCTGTGAATGTGTTTGTTAAATGTTTGTACCTGGAGAGACACCACAAGAGGTGTGTGAGTGCATGATAGGGGCAGCCAGTGACCGCATCTGCAGGGAGGAAGTGGGCTCCATAGGGATGCACAGGTAGGGTGACCTGTTGGTCAGGTGGTGTGTTTGTAGCAGCGTTTGAAGGAAGCTGGGGCTGCCACTCAGGCCTGAGAGAGCAGAAAGTGTTCTTCAGGGCTTTGCTGATGTGTATAGGCCCCTGGAGTTAAGGCTATTGCCTACTTAGCCCTCTTTCTCCTCCACAGAGCCAGAGGGGCTGGTGGGATCCAGCAGTTCCCAGCCAAGCTCACTGCTACCTGAAAACCTGGAGAATGATTCCATGGAGATAGCAGAGGGTGACCAGGAGACAGAAGCAGAGGCACCGGGTGGCACCAACTCTGAGCCAGGCACACCGCGAGCTGGGCGGTCAGCCATCCGGGCTGTGGGCGGTAGCCGTGCCGAACGTTGTGCTGGTGTTCACATCTCAGACCCCTACAATGTCAACCTCCCGCTGCACATCACCTCTATTCTCAGTGTGCCCCCCAACATCATCTCCAACGTCTCCTTGACCAGGCTCACCCGTGGCCTTGAGTGTCCGGCCCTGCAACCTCGGCCAAACCCTGCCTCTGGCCCAGGCCCTGGCCCTGGGCCCCCAGGTGAGGACCCAGGGATGCCCAAGGACTGGGCAAGGGTACTAGAGCTCCAGGCTCAAGCTGTGAAGCTGGAAGATGTACTGTTGGAAAGGCAAAGGCCTCGGGCCTTATGCTCTGGGGTGGTTACCTTAAGCTGCCTTCCTGGATACAGGGTTGGAGTAGATTTAGTAACATTCTCTAGTTATGTGAAAACCATGGAGAAGGGCTATTAACAAGTCTTCAGATCACTGATGTACCCAAGAGTGTGGTTTGCATCAAACTCGTACAAGGGAACTTCAGAAAGCTCGTGGAGAATGGAATTGAAAGACAATGCATGGCCGGCGCTGTGGCTCACTAGGCTAATCCTCCACCTTGCGGCGCTGGCACACCGGGTTCTAGTCCCGGTCGGGGCGCCGGATTCTGTCCCGATTGCCCCTCTTCCAGGCCAGCTCTCTGCTGTGGAGTGCAGTGGAGGATGGCCCAAGTGCTTGGGCCCTGCACCCCATGGGAGACCAGGGTAAGTACCTGGCTCCTGCCATCGGTTCAGTGCGGTGCGCCGGCCGCAGCACGCCGGCCACGGCGGCCATTGGAGGGTGAACCAACGGCAAAGGAAGACCTTTCTCTCTGTCTCTCTCTCTCACTGTCCACTCTGCTGTCAAAAAAAAAAAAAAAAAAAAAAAAAGGAAAGAAAGATAATGCAGGGCCTGCACTGTGGTGCAGTGGGTTAAAGCGCTGGTCTGCCGCGCTGGCATCCCACATGGGCATTGGTTCAAATCCGGCTGCTCTACTTCTGATCCAGCTCTCTGCTATGGCCTGGGAAAGCAGTGGAAGCTGGCCCAAGTCCATGGGTCCCTGCACCTGCCTGGGAGACCTGGAAGAAGTTCCTGGCTCCTGGCTTCAGATTGGCACAGTTCCGGCCTTTGTGGCCATCTGGGGAATGAACCAGAAGTAGGAAGACCTCTCTATCTTTCTCTCTCTGCCTCTGCCTCTCTGTAACTTTGCCTTTCAAGTAAATAAATAAATCTTTAAAAAATAGAAAGATAGAAAGTGCACATTTCCCACCAATTTCTTGAATTCCCCTCATGCAGCAGGGCTTGCTAAGTACAAGTGTGGGAATATGTGATAGATGATGAAAATAATAATTGTCACATTAGCACTAAATGCTATCATTTTTTTTTTTTAAAAGATTTATTTATTTATTTATCTGAAAGAGTTATAGAGAGGGAGAGACAGAGAGAGATGGATCTTCTCTCTGCTGGTTCATTTCCCAGATGGCCACAACTGCCAGGCTGAAGCCAGGAGCCAGGAGCTTCTTCTAGGTCTCCCACGTGGATGTCAGCAGCCCAAGAACTTTGGCCATCTTCCACTGCTTTTGCAGGACATTAGCAGGGGAACAGGATTGGAAGTGGAGCAGCCAGGACTCGAACCGGTGCCCATATGGGATACCAGCACTGCAGGAGACAACTTTATCCACTATGCCACAAAGCTGGCCCCTAAATGCTAGCATTTATTGAAAATTTATTATGTGCCAAGAGCTCTGTCAAGCACTTTGCAGGCAACAGTTTTATTTTCTCACAATCTTATGATCCAGAAATGTTGTTATCCTCATGTTACTATGGTGGAAAGCTGAGACTTAAGAGTAAGTGATTTGTTATTGATTTAGGTAGGGAGTGGCAGGGCTGGGATCAGATCCTGCTCTGACCCCAGTTGCCAAAGTATCCCTGATGAGAAGTCCTGAGGCAGCACAGGAAAGTGCATGGGCTGTACAGTTGCGTAGATGTGAGTACAAATTTTCCCTAGTGGGGCCAGTGTTGTGGTGTAGCAAGGTAAACCGCCCCCTAAAGTGCTGACATCTCATATGGGCACCAGTTCAAGTCCTGGCTGCTGCACTTCCAGTCCAGCTCCCTGCTAATGCACTTGGGAATGCAGTAGAATCCTGGAAGAAGCTCCTGGCTCCTGGCTTCAGACAGGCCCAGCTGCTGCCCATGTGACCATTTGGGAGAATGAACTAGCTGATGCAAGATCTGTCTATCTCTTCCTCTCTCTGTAACTTTGCCTTTCAGATAAATCTTAAGTTCGTTCTTTCTTTCTTTCTTTCTTTCTTTTTTTTTTTTTTTGCCTAGTGGCCCCTATTGGCTGTGTGATCTTGGGCAAATTGCTTAATATCTCTGAGCTGCAGTTTCCTCCTATGTAAAATGAGGATAATGCCCTAGTTTGTTTTGCACGTTAAATAATCACATTGTAAATAGTAAGTAATTACATTCTGTATTAAGTAAATACATTGTATAATGTATGGCGCAGGGCTTGGCTTCTGGAAGGGGTTCAATAACAGTAACTATAAGCCAGCAGTCAGGGATAATGCTCTGATGGCATCAGCCATGTGCAGTATCTATTCTGGGAGTGCTAGGAAGAAAGGGTCAGGGCTGGCCTTGACCTCTGTGTTCCTGGGTCTATTTCTCTCTTGACAGATAAGAAGTTGGAGTCACGTCCGGTCCCAGGTCCCCTGGCTGACTCAGTCCCAGTGGACGAGGCTCCTGTTCTGGAGGACTCCCTGTCCCAGGAGGTGCAGGATTCCTTCTCCTTCCTAGAGGACTCAAGCAGCTCAGAGCCCGAGTGGGTGGGGGTGGAAGATGGGGAGGTGGCCAAGGCAGGAGCAGCAGGAGCTGCCTTCTCCCCTGGGGAGGACGACTCCGGGATGGGCTACCTGGAGGAGCTCCTGGGAGTTGGGCCTCAGGTAAGGAACAGCTGTGCTGGGTTTGGGGGTGGTAAGGAGTCCAGAGAGTAGACAAGGCCATGTGGTCCTGAGCCTCCATGCTTTGCCTACAGGTGGAAGAGTTCTCTGTGGAGCCACCCTTGGATGACCTGTCTCTGGATGAAGCGCAGTATGTTCTGGCTCCCAGCTGCTGTTCCTTGGACTCTGTGGGCCCTGGGCCTGAAGTAGAGGAAGAAAATGGGGAGGAAGTTTTCTTGAGTGCCTATGATGATCTAAGTCCCCTGTTGGGGCCTAATCCCCGCTCCTGGGAGAGCACAGAGAACCTGCAGGACGAGGCAGCAGGGTGTGGAAGACAGACTCCAGGACTGACTGAGGAAGAGCAGGCACCTTTGGAAGTTGAGGAAGACAAGGAAGCTGAGCCTGGAAGCAAATGGGACATCAGGAAAGAGGCTGAAGGGAGTCCAGGGGCTGGGACGGAAGTTGGAAAGGCCGGTGAGGAAGGAAAGGAGGCTGCGGAAAGCCGAGAGGGGATGGTCAGGCTGGAAGAAGGGAGTGGGGAAGAGGCAGAGGCCAAAGGACATCAGGAGGCTGAAAGCGTGGAGGAGACTAAGAGTACAGAGGAACCAGGAGAACAGGATATAGACAAGGAGCAGGACAAAGAGGTTGAGAGAGAAGAGGCTGAGGGAGGAGAGGCGGCTCAGGTAGACACTGGAAGGTATCCAGAGAACGGGGCCCAGGAACACCTGGCTGCTGAGGAGAACTGGGAAGTTGTACACAAACAAGAGGTCAATGGAGGCACAGAGGATGAGGTCAAAGGACAGAAGGGGAATGGAAACCATGAGACAAGAGAAGACCAAGGAGATGGCGAAGATGGCAGAAATTCAGCAACGGCAGCCAAAGGAGGAGAAAGGGAGCTTAGCAAGGAACGGGAGAGTGGGCGTGGAGTGGCTGAGGGAGCTCAGAGCGCGGGAGGGGACCGTGTAGAAGAGGGGGCCCTCTCTGGGGGGTCGGGCATGAAGTTCTTGCAGGCTGATGCTGCCAAAGAGGGCAATGCTCAGTCTTCTGATACGGAACAGGTAGCCCCCCAGCCACCCCAGCCAGAGGAGCTGGAGCCTGATGGTCAGCCCAGCTCTGAGGGTGATGCTCTGTGCGCCTGCTCCCTTGGTTCAGCAGGCGGTGTGGGCATGCGCCTGGCTTCCACCCTGCTTCAGGTCCAACAGGTCCACTCTGTGCCCGTGGTGCCCCCCAAGCCACAGTTTGCCAAGATGCCCAGTGCAATGTGCAGCAAGATCCATGTAGCCCCTGCAAACCCATGCCCAAGGCCTGGCCGCCTTGATGGGACTCCTGGGGAAAGGGCTTGGGGGTCCCGAGCGTCCCGATCCTCTTGGAGGAATGGGGGCAGTCTTTCCTTCGACGCTGCTGTGGCCATGGCCCGGGACCGCCAGAGGACTGAGGCTCAGGCAGTCCGGCGGACCCAGACATGTACTGGGGGTGGGGACTACAGCCTCATTCCCAGAACCTCCCTCTGTAGCACGATCCCTGCCCATCCTTCTCGGCCCCTTAGCTGCTTGGAACACCCACCTGAAGGCACAGAAGGGCCTGGATCCCGGAGTCGGCTTAGTCTGCCCCTCAAAGATCCCCAGCCCCCCGATCTCCTTATGTGCCCCCAGCGCCGGTCATATGCATTTGAAACACAGGCTAACCACGAGAAAGGTGAGAGACTGTGATTAGGACCAGAACATTGGGCCAAAGGGACCAGGAAATTGTCTGGAATCTTTGGGGTCCCTGGCTAGCTGTCTCTTCTGTAGCCTGAGCAGCTGTAGTGCCCCACTCTATGGAACTTTGGTCCTCCAGCTTCTGTTTCTGACTGTGGGAGGCACTTTCTCAGCTGGTATACCTGAGCTCGTCTCAGACTTAGAGCACTTACTTATCTCTCAGGAGATTTTCCAAAAAAGTCACCAAGATCCTGTTCCCAGGGAGTAGCGTCATTGGCCAAGGGGAACATAACGTTAGGCAGAAAATTTAAGAAGTTTCTCAAAGCGAAGAATGGAGGGGGAATTCCAGACAAGTTCCTGCTCTCCTCGGAGGCTTCTTTATAGAAGCCCAAGACAGAGGTGAGGACTGGGTCAGCTCAGAGCTTCTCCCTCCGCCCCCCCCTTTCTCACACACACACACACACACACACACACTAGTTGTCCATCCCTACATCCTTGGATACTTCCCGATCCTCTTAGCTCCATATTAGCAGTATGTCCAGGAAGTTCTTTGAAGTCCTCAGTGTTTGAAAGATGGCCTGGACCCCTCCCTTCCCCTCCATCTGCCTCTCCGTATATTACAGGAGAAAGGTCTTGTGCACATCTCTCTGGCCGTTCCTTTTTCCTTTGGAATAATGCCCTCCTGTTTCAGAAAATGGGGATGGCCTCACTCAGGTTCTTGGGACTGCTTCTCCAGACAGGTGGAGGGCACAGGTCTCACTCTAGAAGGGGTTGGTATTGCAGAATAAAAGTTGTATTTTTACACATAAACAGTGTGGAGTCTCATTATTCTGACTAAAACCTTGGGTGATAGGTATCACATTTTCATATATTTGGCCAAACTTTTTTTTCCCCTACTTTGTTCAGGGCTGTTTCTCAGTTGTCATGGAGACTAGGCTAAAAACTAGAGCTGGGGTCAGCGGTGGTCAGGAAATGGGGAAGAGAAACTTGTATTTACATAATGTTCATTATGTGCCAGGAACCGGGCTGGGTAGTCTTGTGTATTAATTCCACTTAGCAATTCTGTAAGGTAGGTACACATAGGTGGCTCCATCTTACGGATGAGGAAACTAAGGCTCAATTAAGTAAAAATGCTTGTAAGATCCCAGCGGTAATAAGTAGAAGAGATGGATTTGAGAACCAGGTTTAAATGGCCTGGTTTCTTAATTTTTCCCATTATACCATCCTACTCCAAACCTATTAGGAAGAATGGGAATCAATCCTCTCGCAAAATGTAAGCCTCGGGTGAGTGACTAGCGACGCTAACAGAAAGGAGGTATGCTCAGATCTATCTATTTATGCCCTGAGATGTCTCCATCTCCTGTAGGAAACCCTTAAAAAAATTGCCCTTATCCAAGATGGCCTCCCAAATAGCCCTTGTTAAAGATGGCGCCTCCGCCTGGCGGCCCTCCTTGATCCCCGCCTGCCGCCCCATTCCCTTTTCCCGGAATCAAAAAAGCTCTGCCAAGCACAGAGATGGCAGCACACGCTAGCCGCCCTTCTCCCGCTCCCGCCCTAAGTGGCCAGGCCTCGAGCGACATTCGCCAGCAGTACCCCTCCGAGCGTGTCCCCACGCTCCCATCCCTCCAGCCCTCAGCAAGATGGAGCGAGCGGAAGTGGAGCGGCTCAGGGGCTGTAAGTGGGCGGGGCGGGTCGAGAGAGACACTTCCGCCCCTCACCAACATGGCCCAGGGCCGGGAGTGCGCATGAGCAGCTGTCTATGGAGAGACTCGGGTCGGGAGAGGGAGAACACGGTCGGGGGGAAATCGGCGGCTGAGACGGCCTGGGCCGGTGAGTGCAGGGCCACACGGCAGTGTGGAGACTGGATGGGTCGGCAAGGCGGGGCCGCTTTGATTTAGTTTCCGTTTTTCAGGATGGGAAACTCTTGGGGGAGGAAGCCTTTGTTTTGGGGGAGGGGACCGTGCCTGGTTCTTTTATTTGCTATCCCGCTTTGTGGGCCAAACCCGCTCCCCGCCCTCCTGCGCTGTCCGGCCGCGGGGCTGCGGCTGCGGGCCCCCGAGCTCCCGGCGCCCCTTCCCTGCCTGCTCTGCGAAGCAGCCGCGGCGCGGGGCGAACGCGGCTGGGCTGGCCGGGTCACGGCGCGGGCTCCGGGGCGCGCGCCTGGCGGGCGCTCAGCTCGGTGAGCGCCTGCTGCTCGGTGGGCCTTCGGGGAGACGCCTTGTTCTCAGGCCTGGTTTCTTTCCAGGCTGCATCCCCCACCCCCACCCCGCTTTGTGTCCAGACTCGGCCAGGGGTCTCGCTGGGCCCTCGTTTGCCTGAGCGTGCACAGCGCAACATCCTATCCCGGTTCCCGTGTCTCCCATCTCCCGAAGGCTCAGGAAATGCTTCCGGATGTCCAGCTCGGGGTTGAAGAAGTAGCGCGACCCCGCTGCGGGGTGTCCTCGGAGACCGCCCTTGGCTGACAGCTGTGGGCGATAGAGGCGCCTCCTACTCCCTGCCTTCTCTTTCATTGCTTCCTCCTGCAGTCGGCGCGACGAGCCTCGGAGGGGCACTTTTCCCACTCAGGTTGGAGGATGGAGACCTGGGTGGTCCCAAAACACCAGGGCTACTTCTCCTGCGGGGCTGGGATCTCCTTGCAACATTACTTCCTTCGGACAGTTTCGCTTTCAGTTCCTTTTTGTTGTTGTTGTTGTTGCCATTTTCCTTGGCCACGGGCTCTCCAGGGCTTCTCCGCTGAGGATATTTCCTGGGATAGAAAAGGCCAGGAGAAACTCACGGATGCAGAATTTACAGAAATCTTGCCCCTTTCGTGTTGGGATTATTTTACTGCTTTGTACCGGCTGTTTCTTTTCGGCATCTGCCCGCTTAGCCCTTTGTTTTTTTCTGTCGTCTGGCTGCATGTCAGGGTCCTAAGGCAGGCACCTCCTAGATGGATTGCTCCTCCATTGTCTCTTCTTCGGAAGCCTAAGCCTGGGCTTTTTTTTTTTTTTTTCTTTCCCTCCTTACTGAGGCTCAGTTGATTTGGAGTTGTCATGGCAACGTTTTAGCAACTGTGTTGTTCTACAGGAAGGCTTAATGAATAATAATAAAGAAGGCTTGAAGCTAGTGCACTTGGATGTTAGGTTCTCTAAGGGATGATACCAATCTGGGCACCCCCTGCGCCCAGATAAGAGCCCTTTCAGTAGAGTGGAGCCCAAGGGCCAGGTCTTTGTGGTTAGCATCCGTTTTCCAGTGGTGGTGGGTTCCTGTGTCCCCTCCCTGGATTGATGCAGCTGGAAGCTGAGAACCTGGAAGAAGCATGACTGTCCATGGCCTTGTGTTTTGGTAATGCTGGTCTCAACATGGCCCTCCCTAATTTCCTTGAAGCTGCTGTTGTGGGAGATCATGATAGCTTTAATAATAATCCTTTGAGAAATGTGTTGTTTCTCAGCCTTCCGGTATAATGACCCCTTCTCCACCAAGAGTCAGGGTGATAATGAAGGGGTGAGGAGCTCGATTTGTAGGGTTGCGTTTTCCAACAGACCGGCCCTCAGCATTGGAATGGGGGAAGCTGGTTGTCCTTTGCAGGTGCAGGTGACTGGGTTCTTTTCCTGGCTGTGTGTTGACGGAGCCTTGATCCCAAGTCTAGGGAGGCTGTTCAGTCCAACACTCACTGCAAACTCCGTGATTTCTACCAGGACTTAGTATTCAGGCCTGTGAATCAGGAGATACGAAGACTCCAAAAAAAGGACCAGTTCCTCGGATGTGCCCCCTCACAGAGAGATGAAGGGGTGAGTAAAGCAGAGGTAGGGTCTGGGGTGAGAGATGGTTGGCCTGGGAGAGCGTCAGACGCTGAGAGCACTGGCTGTGCGGGCAGACAGACCTGGAGTCAGGTCCAGTTCCGTCCCCTACCAGCTGTGTGATCTGGTTTCCCATTTGTAGAATGGAGGTAGTGCCACCTGCCTTATAGTGCTGTTAGTGTTCACTAAGACAGGACATGTTAAATGCTTAGCTTGAAGCCTACATGCATAGTAAGTACTAGTTGTTATTCTCACGTAACCCAGCATCTGTTATGGATGCCAGTGGATTTGGGAGTTCTTTGCCACTGGGCCAGTAGCTTCTCACTCCCTTCTTCCCTTATTCTTTCTTTTGCTCTTTCACCACAAACAGGCAGCAGAAAACAGCTGAAACGGAAGAGGGGACAGTGCAGATTCAGGAAGGTGAGTGTTAAAAATGGAACCGAGAGCCATGATGGCACCTGTCCCTCCACTGGGCCACCTCCCGAGCGCCCTTCCTCCTTCCACGTGTCGTGCAAGTGGAACAGAAGGAGAAAGGCAGTTAACTCAGGGACCTTTCCTTTGCTCTCCTACTTCAGGTGCAGTAGCTACTGGGGAGGACCCAACCAGTGTGGCTATCGCCAGCATCCAGTCAGCTGCCACCTTCCCTGACCCCAACGTCAAGTACGTCTTCCGAACTGAGAATGGGGGCCAGGTAAGGGGAGGAGCCAGGTGGCTGCAGGTGTTACTTGGGATTGGGGTTGAGGGAGGTTTGGAACATGTGTTGGGAAGATGTGGCTTGGAGGATGAGGGGGAAATACGGACTCTTATGGTGGGAGGGCTGATATGAGAGTTGGGGTAGAGCCTGGTGTGAGCCAGGGGTATGCTAAAGCCCTGGGACAGGGAGGGAAGGGAGAGCGGCTGACTGTGTCGAGGGTGTTATTTTGGGGCCTTCCCCATGGAGAAGTTTGCGAAGTGCCCTGGGAGTCCCAGCATTTACTCCTCTCTCTTCTCCCGCCCTCTTCCTCTCGCTTTTAGGTGATGTACAGGGTGATCCAGGTGTCTGAAGGGCAACTGGACGGCCAGACTGAGGGTACCGGCGCCATCAGTGGCTACCCTGCCACTCAGTCCATGACCCAGGTACTGCAGTCTGGGCTGGGCTGGTGACCAGATCTCCGGGCAGTGAGAGGAAGAAGGGAACTGGACTCTGTCCTCTTGCTCTCCTCTCCAGGCCGTGATCCAGGGTGCTTTCACCAGTGATGATACGGTTGACACAGAGGGGACAGCTGCTGAGACGCACTATACTTACTTCCCCAGCACTGCAGTGGGAGATGGGGCAGGAGGTACCACATCGGGGAGTACAGCTGCTGTTGTTACTACCCAGGGCTCAGAGGCACTACTGGGGCAGGCAACCCCTCCTGGCACTGGTGAGATATCGCGTGAGGATGCTGGCTGGAGGGGCTAGGAGAGGCCATGGGACATGGCTGGTGGGCAGTGGGCCTTCACTGATTCCTTAGCCCCGGGCAAGGCAGTGAGTTGGCCCCCCTCCTAGCAGGAGGAAGCCTGTTCTTTTCAGAGGAGGATCCCAGGGTCGTGGCCTCAGGGCATGGTCATGTGGCCAGGTTTGTCCGGACACAGTTTATCCTGCGTCTTCACAGGTCAGTTCTTTGTGATGATGTCACCACAGGAAGTGTTGCAGGGGGGAAGCCAGCGCTCCATCGCCCCTAGGACCCACCCGTATTCCCCGTGAGTGATCCCATTTCTTCTCAATCACCAGGAGTGGTGGTTTTTTTTTTTTTTTTTGGAAAGATTTATTTATGTATTGAAAGGAAGAGTGAGAGGGAGCAGAGTGACACAGAGAGGGAGAGAGAGAGATCAACTTTCCATCACTCCCCAAATTCCTGCATCAGCCAGGGCTGAGCCAGGCCAAAGCCAGGAGCCTGGAACTCCATCTGGGTCTTCACCCAAGTACTTGGGTCATGATTTGTTGCCTTCTGATGCCAGGTGCATTAGCAGGACGCTGGATCAGAAGCAGAGTAGCTGGGACTTGAACCTGTACCCTGACAAGGGATGTGAGTGTCCCAAGAGGCAGCTTAACCTGCTGTACCACAACACCCTCCCCATAAGCCATCTTGACACTTGCTGAATCTTGTTTAATGCCTTACCCCAAACTCTAATCTTAGTTTTATTTAAAAAAATTTTTTTAAGATTCACTTATTTATTTGAAAGGCAGAGCGAGAGAGGGAGAGAAAGAATAGATATCTTCCATTTTCTGGTTTATTCCCCAAATAGCCACAATAGCCAGGTCTGGGTCAGACAGGAGCCAGGAACTCCATCTTGGTCTCCCATATGGGTGGTAGTGGCCCACAACATCTTGGGGTGTTTGCCCAAGCACATTAGCATGAAGCTGGATTGGAAGCCAGAGTAGCCTGGCATCAAACCAGCACTCTGATAAGATATGCCAAAGTTGCCAGCGGCAGCTTCACCCGCTGCACCACAGTGCCAGCCCCTCATCTTAGTCCTCGTCCTTACTCCGGCCACCCTGGGTTCTGTTGTCAGGAAGTCAGAGGCCCCCCGGACGACTCGGGATGAGAAACGCAGGGCTCAGCACAACGAAGGTGAGCTGGATCTGAGTGTGAAGCAGGGAGCGGTTGTGTGGGAGTGGGGGCAGCAGGGACATCTGGCGGGCGGGGCTGGGGGAGGGGAGGTTAGGTAGTTTTCACCCTAGGCTGTGGTGAGTTTTCACGGAGTCACTTTGCCCCGCAGTGGAGCGCCGCCGCCGAGACAAGATCAACAATTGGATTGTGCAGCTGTCTAAGATCATCCCAGACTGCTCCATGGAGAGCACCAAGTCTGGCCAGGTCATGGCAAGGCCCTGGTGGTGGGCAGGCCGCCTGAATTCTGTCTCCTGGTATCGTTTCCAGAAATGGTGGAGAGAGGGACACAGCGTGGCAGTGGTCTTCCCTTCCCTCTCTCCGAGGGTCCTGTGCCTCTGGGAGGTGTCACGGTGCCATCCTTAGGGGACAGTGAGGTCCGAAGCGTGAGCATGCTTTTGGACAGGCCAGATGTCTTCAAGGCTAGACCTCATTTGGTCGGCTTTGTCTTGCAGAGTAAAGGTGGAATCCTGTCCAAAGCTTGTGATTACATCCAGGAGCTTCGGCAGAGTAACCACCGGTTGTCTGAGGAGCTGCAGGGGCTCGACCAGCTGCAGCTGGACAACGATGTGCTTCGACAGCAGGTCCGACGCCCCCCGGTCCCCCTCGCAGCCGCAGAGCTGGTTTCAGATTCTTTGTGGCATCATCCGTGGAGAGGGCCTCACCAGGGGACCCTCTGAATGGGTTCGGGGTGGGGGGGGGCTGGCAGTGTTCCCTTTGTTTAATCCGTTCCCCTTACTACCTGTTTCCTGTGTCAGGTGGAAGATCTTAAAAACAAGAACCTGCTGCTGCGGGCTCAGCTGCGGCACCACGGATTGGAAGTCGTCATCAAGAACGACAGCAACTAACCATGGGGATGTGGGGGCTTTGGGCCCGGGAACTGCAGCTAGCCCAGGAGCAACAGGCCAATCCCACGCCCCTTTCCTTCACTGCCCGCTTCCCGGCCTGGGCCTGGGGGGAGTTCAGAAGCCGTGTCTCTGAACTGAGGCCCTGCGCCATGGCAGACCGCAGTGGTGGGAAACACACAGTGTGGACCTGCCCTGACCGCCTTGCCCACCCCCTCGCCATCCAGCTCCCCGGGCCCTTGTGCTCCTCTTGCACAATGCATGTGCTGTCCCCACGCCGGAGACTGGACACATGGAGCCGGGGGGAGGAGGGCCTGCCCTGCGCTTGCCTAGAGTGCCCAGCAGAGGACCTGCTGACCGCGAGCTCTGGTTTGCCACGGGGCTCGGGCGCTTCCATTGGTCCCTTGCCTGGAGCTGAGGTTCAGCTTTGTACCCGGGGGCTCTGAGGAACAGGCTCAAGTAAGAAGTGGGGTTAGGATGCTCAGCAGTGGCTGCTGTCCCACAGAGGAGGCTAGCCAGCAAGCAGTACGGCCTATGCAGAAGTCTCTGGAGCCAGGGAGGACAGCAGGCAAGGCCCACTTAGGGCCTTCCCCTTCGTGGGGTGGTTTTTTTCCTTTTCTTTTTTTTTTTTCCCTTTTTTTTTTTTTAAAGATAAAATTGTTCAGAGCCACAGTTGTCTTTTTCTCCTCCTTTTGTGGGCCCCAGGGCGGAAGGGAGGGCATTCCTGGCTTTTGGACCACGAAGGGCTGGGCCGGGTTTAGGGTGGGATGCTGCTTTTATGCTCATCACCTAGTGCCTCTACCGCTGCCAGACTAATGAGTCGTTTCCTGCCCACGCTGGGGACTCGCTAGGATATCCGGTGGACTGGTGGTAGGCACCACTAACAGGTGCTGCGGGGGCGGAGCGGGAGGCTCTCCCTCCGCTTCCGGTTCCGGTTGGCTCCTGGAGGGAGGGAGAGATGTTACCGGCACCGAGGGGGAGTGCCTTGGCCTTATTCCTGGGATTTGCAATCGCGGCGCGCACCATGGCTGGAGGTACCTGCAGGGTAGACCTGGGACCTCGCCCTGATAAGTGGCTGCGGGCGCGCGTGGAGGCCCCGTGGGTGGAAGTGGGGCAGCGGGGCTGAGGTGCCCCCCCCCGCCCCGCTCGCCTCAATGGATTGGCCCGCAGCCAGGGGAGGGGGCGCCGCGGCTGCTGTGCCTTGGGAACCCTCTTCCCTGAAGGCGCTCGTGCTCCCTTCCTCAGCACCCACGGTCTCGCTCCCCGAACTCCGATCACTCCTAGCCGCTGGTCGCGCCCGGCTCTTCGATGTGCGATCTCGGGAGGAAGCAGCAGCGGGGACGATCCCGGGGGCGCTCAACATCCCGGGTACAAGATGGAGAAGGGAGGTCCCCGTGTCAGACTAGGACAGCCGGGAAGGGCTCACCGAGGGGTAGGCGCAGCAATCGGGGTCCTGCGTTCCTTTAAGACAGCCCTCAGCCTCCCTAGCGAAGGGCTGGTTGGAGGCGGGTCCTGGCAGCCGAACTGGCCCATCCAGTTTGAGGGGATAGTAGGCAGTGAGGAGGGGGGTGGGCCAGCCTCTTTCTGCCCGCCCCCCCCCCCCCTCCCGCGGGGAAGCGGCTCCGGTCAAAGGCTGTTTGGCTGACCCAAGCGCTGGGCTGCGGCTAGTCCCTTAGATGGGGCGGGGCAGGGTGGTATGGGAACGCTGTAGGTTGTTTTGGGGCCCCCTGGAGATTCGTTCCGCCACTGGGACTCCTCCAGGCCCTGCTTCCGAAGCCCCCAGACTGCGGGCTCGGCATTGTGTCCTCTCCACCCCTGCCAGTGTCCGAGCTGGAAAGCGCCCTGCAGATGGAGCCGGCTGCTTTCCAGGCCAGGTACTCCGCTCAGAAGCCCACGCTGGAGGAGGAGAACCTCGTTTTCTTCTGTCAGATGGGCCGGCGGGGCTCCCAGGCCGCGCAGCTGGCCCGGAAGCTTGGATACACAGGGTATGGGACAGGCCTGCCTTGCTGTGGGGAAGGCCCTGGGGACCGCCTGCTGGGGCTGCCCTTCACCCCCTCCTTGTCTCCACAGGGCACGAAACTACGCTGGGGCCTATAGAGAATGGTTGGAGCAACAGGGTTAGGTTGGAGGTGGCTGCTCTAGCCAGGGCTGGTGAAGGGACTGACCCGCTGAGTTGGGCAGCACATGCAAGCCTGCAATAAAGAACATTTTCTGAAAGCATTGGAGCACTGAATTTGTCAGGTGGACCCGAGACGGTTCTAACGGTGGTCATCTAGTTCTTTGGACCTTGATCAGTGAAGTCCTGAATCATTTATCCTTCCAGCCCTCGCCTACCCCTCACCACCACCCCCCAAATTCTAGAAGTTCCCTGAGAGCGACTACAGTTCTAGAATTGTTTTCTGCCCAGGATGCACATCAGTATCATCTAGTATCTTGACCCAAAAAAAACGAACAAAAGCACAAAACAAAAAACTTGGGCTTTATTCCAGATTGATAACCTAGGGGGTGGAGCTTTGGGGTCATCAGGTGATTTTTTTTTAAAGATTTTTAAATTTATTTGAAAGGCAGAGAGAGAGAGAGAGAGAGAGAGAGAGGATCTTCCATCTATTTAACTCCCCAATTAGCCACAACAGCTGGAGGTGGGCTGATCTGAAACCAGGAGCTTCTTCTCGATCTCCCATGTAGGTGCAGGGGCCCAAGCACTCGGGCCATCCTCTGATGCTTTCCCAGGTGCATTAGCCAGGAGCCAGAGCAGAAGCGGAACAGCTGGGACTCAGTGCCCATATGGGATGCTGGCCTGCAGCTGATTCTAATGTGCAATCAGGAGCCAATGCCACTGCTCTGGACCAAATAGCAGCAAACTGTGGCCCTGATGGGCCACACCACCGCAGCCATCTGTTTATGTGTTGCCTGGCTGCTTTTGTACAAAGATGGCAGAATAATTGCAACAGACTATATTTAAAGCCTTTTTAAAAAAGAAAAGATTTATTTGAAAGGCAGACAGGGAGAGAGATTGGTCTTCCACCCACTGGTTCACTCTGCAAATGGCTGCAATGACCCAGGCTGGGTCAGACCAAAGTCAGGAGCCTGGAACTCCAGCTGGGTCTCCCATGGGGTGCCAGGAGCCAGTGTTGCAAGCAGCAGCAGCTTAACCTGCTGAGCCACAACACTGGCCCCCTAAAATTGTTATTAATTGACTTTGTACAGAAAAAGTTTGCCTACCATTGCTCTAGAGCCCAGGGGTAGGGAATCTTTTTTTATAAGGGCCATTTGGATATTTATAACATCATTTTTGGACCGTACAAAATTATCAACTTAAAGATTAGCCTGCTAGAAGGGCCAGTGTTGTGGCTCAGTAGATTAAGCTGCTGCCTGCAATGCCAGCATCCCCTGTGAGTACCAGTTCTGGTCTAAGTTGCTCTGCTTCTGACCCAGCTCCCTGCTGATGTGCCTGGGAGGGCAGCTGAAGATGGCCCAGATACTTGGGCCCCTGCTCCCATGTGGGAGGCCTGGCTGGAGGACCTGGCCCAGTCGCAGCCGTTGTGGCCATTTATGTGAGTGAACCAGCCGATAGAATATCAGTCTCGTTCCCTGCCCTGCAACTCTGCCTTTCAGATAAATTACTTTTTCAAATAGTCTGTTATAGATTTGTTGACTTTAAATACTGAATTCCAAGTTCTGCTTGTGGTTGCCTCAGCGGGATCAGACCAGATGATTTTGTGGGACCTTATGCAGCCCGCAGGCCAGACGTCCTCCACCCCTGCAAGACCTTCAGTTCCTCAGTCCCAATCTCACTTTCCTTCACGGCGTCGCTGAGTTGAGGAAATGAAATGTCATTGGATGAGGGAGTGGAGAGTACCCTTCATCCCTCCCAAGTACCCCGTAGAGATCACGGTGTGAGCAGTCCTTCCTGGGCCACCTGAACACCTTCCTGCTTTTCTCAATACTGGTCTCTGATCCCTTGGTGGGTTTAACAAATAATAGTTGTTTGACAATAATAAAATAGGGGCCGGCACTGTGGCATAGCGAGTAAAACTGCCGCCTGCAAGTGCTGGTATCGCATATGGGCACCGGTTCGAGCCCTGGCTTCTCCACTTCCAATCCAGCTCTCTGCTATGGCCTGGGAAAGCCCAAGTCCTTGGGGCTCTGCACCTGTGTGGGAGACCCAGAAGAAGCTCTTGGCTCCTGGCTTCAGATCAGCCCAGCTCCAGCCATTGCAATCATTTGGGGAGTGAACCAGTGGATGGAAGACCTCCTCGTCCCCCGCCTCTGCTCCTGCCCCTGTAACTCTGCCTTTCAAATAAATAAATATTTTTTTAAAAAATGAAATATACTTATTGAAATAAAACTCAGCATTATACAGCAGGTATATAACTTCTCTCTAGCATGGTGCATAGTTTCATGCCTACCCTTTATGACCTTTTAAATATTTTATTTAAAATATTTATTTTGGGGCCGGCGCTGTGGCACAGTGAGTTAAAGCCCTGACCTGAAGCGCTGGAGTCCTATATAGGTGCCAGTTCTAGTCCTGGCTGCTCCTCTTCTGATCTGGCTCTCTGCTGTGGCCTGAGAAAGCAGTAGAAGATGGCCCAAGTCCTTGGGCCCCTGTACCCACATGGGAGAGTGGGAAGAAGCTCCTGGCTCCTGGCTCCAGATTGGCGCAGCTTCGGCCATTGTGGCCATTTGGGGAATGAACCCAGAGGATGGAAGACCTCTCTCTGTCTCTACCTCTCTCTGTAACTCTGTCTTTCAAATAAATAAAATAAATCTAAAAAAATGTCTATTTTGTTTTATTGGAAAGGCAGAAAGGGAAAAGAGAGATCACTTTTTTTTGATACTATTTTTTAAGATTTATTTATTTGGAAGTCAGAGTTACACAGAGAGAGAAGGAGAGGCAAAGAGAAAGACAGAGGTCTTCCATCCACTGGTTCACTCCCCAGCTGGCCGCAACGGCCAGATCTGAAGCCAGAAGCCAGGATCTTCCTCCAGGTCTCCCATGCGGGTGCAGGGGCCCAAGGTCTTGGACCATCCTCCACTGCTTTCCTAGGCGATAGTAGAGAGCTGGATCAGAAGTGGAGCAGCCAGGACTTGAAGCAGTGCCCATAAGGGACACCGGCACTGCAGGCGGCAGCTTTATCAGCTACACCACAGTGCTGTTCCCCCGCCCCCCACTGAGTTTTAAGTATGCCCGCTTGTAACTCCTAGTCTAGAGGAGTTCTGGAACATTGAAATCCCCAGGATTTCTCTGCTCCTTTGCAGTCAGTTTGCACTGCTACTCCCTTTCCAGGCAACCACTTTCTGTCTTCTTTCACCATAAATTAGTTTCCTGGCCCCCTTGCTGGCCTGCCACCCCTTCCATACATTTAGCTTTACAGCTGATGCAGATGATTAGAGAAAATCCTGGAAGTACACTGACCTGGCCCACGACATGACCATGCCCTCTGGTTTGACCATTGTTAAGCACATTCCTCTTTCTCCCTCATTAACTTGTTTGGTTCATAACCCTGACAGGCTGTTCCAACCCATTACCTTGCTTTTGAAAGTTCCTTTTTCCTCATAGCTGACTTTCAGCAGGTGAGGCTCAAATCCTAGGGCTTCCCAGCTGTATCCACTTTCCTTGCTACTCTCTGCCTGCCTTTTCGTGCTGAGTTAGACGCCCCTTTCATACTCCTCTGTTCCTGGTTAGTGTTTACCACATACTGGTGTCATCATATCTGTTATGCTACATTTTTGTTGTTCATTTGTCTCTCAGCTGATGGACAGCGCTGCAAAGGCTGGAACTGGCTTTTGTTTTGTTTTTGTTTTTGTCCTCCAGTGCTTGGAATGTGAGTTCTCAGTAGGTAATTGTCAAGCCTCGCTAGTCTTCTGACCTTCAGAATCTTCTAGTTTCAGCCTTTCCAAGGCATCACTGCCTGCCCAATCTTAAACTACCATTTTAATCTTATCAGTAAGAGTAGATAATTTACAGTAGGTCCTTGTTGCCTAGTGACCAGGCTCCTGGCTCAGACTGCCCCTCTGACCAATCTCCATCTAGATCTGGCCTCACCTTGGTGTTCCAAACGTACCCTCCCATGCCCGCTCCCAGCAGGCTGGGTTCCTGTCTGACCCTGGCCTTTACCCACCGTTTTCCCTGTTTGGGAAGCTTCCAGTCCTTTGTACCATTCCGAATTTCACAAGAATTAGAAGAATGTATTTGGCAGAGATTTGCTGTTCTCATCAAGAGGGCTTTCAAACTCAAGGAGAAGGAGAAAAATACCAGATAAAAATTATGTAACTGAATTCCATGAAAGACGCAAGGCACAGAACTGTGGGTAAAGTGCACAGCTGTGCTGTGCATACTGTACTTACACAATTGTTCTGTGTAATGCACTCTGCATTAACACTTGCTTCTTCTTCAGATGGAGTGTGTTAAGAGGTGGGGCTGTTTTTTATGGTTGTATGGCCCATGTTGAACCCAGAACCACTTGTTAAGGAGGTACTTGGTAGATGTTGACTATTTATTGAGGTGTTTAGTAATCCCCAGGGGAAAAATATGAGAAAGTTGGAAATAACACTCATGAATGGTAGCATGTTATTGTAGAGAGCACAAAGGTTATGAGAGTTCTGAGTTGCATTCCACTGCAAGTTAATTTTAATGCAAGAGAGTTATAAGATTTATCTTGAGTTGTTGTGAGAGATTAATTTCTATTAGTATCTGTTATATAGAATGTCTGGATTCAGGCTCTTACCTAGGAGTATAAATATAAGTACAAGAAAGTAAATACTAGAGACAGCACAGATATTCAAATTTGATGGAGGTCTGGCACTGTGGCATCCCGTATGGGCGCCAGTTTGAGTCCCGGTTGCTTCACTTCTGATCCAGCTCTCTGCTATGGCCTGGGAAAGCAGTAAAAGATGGCCAAGGCCTTGGGCCCCTACACCCATTTGGGAGATCTGGAAGAAGTTCCTGGCTCCTGGCTTCAGATTTGCACATCTCTGGCCACTGTGGCCAGTTGGGAAGTAAACCAGCGGATGGAAGACCTCTCTTTCTCTCTCTCTCTCTCTCTCTCTCTGCCTCTCCTTCTTTCCGTGTAACTCTGACTTTCAAATAAATAAGTAAATCTTAAAAAAAAAAAAAAGAAATTTGATGGAAGGAAACTTGTGACTGGCAGTGAAAAATATGTAGTAATAAAAAGTATATTTAATAAAGTCAGATGTCATAAGTTTTTAGCTTGATAAATTTCTACAAAGTGAACATACTCATTTAAACAGACACTGTAATGATCTGAATGATTTAAAATATGTGAAGACTTTCTTTATGGCCATTTTTTGTATATGTTGAGGAAGAGACATCTTTCATCTGCTGGTTCATTCGCTAAGTGCCCACAACAGCCAGGGCTGGGTCAACATGAAGCCAGGATCCAGGAACTCAATCTGGGTCTTCTGCATGGGTGGCAGGGACCTTACTACTTGAGCCTCCCAGAATTAGTATTAGCAGGAAGCTGGAATGGAAAGCGGAGGCGGGACTTGAAGTTAGGCACTCTGATGTGTGATGCAGGCATCCCAAGTGTGGCTTAACTGTTGTGTCAAATGCCTACCTCTATGTCCCTCTTTAATAATGCTTCTTATCTTAAAATCTATTTTGCTGCGGCCGGCGCCGTGGCTCAATAGGCTAATCCTCCACCTTGCGGCGCCGGCACACCGGGTTCTAGTCCCGGTCGGGGTGCCGGATTCTGTCCCGGTTGCCCCTCTTCCAGGCCAGCTCTCTGCTATGGCCAGGGAGTGCAGTGGAGGATGGCCCAGGTGCTTGGGCCCTGCACCCCATGGGAGACCAGGAAAAGCACCTGGATCCTGGCTCCTGCCATCGGATCAGCGCGGTGCGCCGGCTGCAGCGGCGGCCATTGGAGGGTGAACCAACGGCAAAGACCTTTCTCTCTGTCTCTCTCTCTCTCACTGTCCACTCTGCCTGTCAAAAAAAAAAAAATCTATTTTGCTGCTACTAGTACAGTTATACCAGCTATATATATACAGCTATATATAGGTATACAGCTATATACCGGTTATACCAGCTTCATATTCACTTGTGTTTCCATGGGGAATAGTAGGCCATACCTTTTAGAATTCATATTAACTAAGACCAAACACAGACACAAGAAGTAGACTATGGGAAAGCAGATTAAAAAAAAAAAAGATTTATTTATTTGATTCAAAAGGTAGAGTTACCGAGAGAGAGGGAGAGATCTTCCATCCACTGGTTCATCCCCCAAATGGATGCAATGGTCAGGGCTGTGTCAGCCAATACCAGGAGTCAGAACCTTCTTCCGGGTCTCCCATGTGGGTGCAGAGATCCAGGGACTTGGTCCATCTTCCGCTGCTAGGAAAGCAGATTTTTTTAAAAAGATGTATTAATTTATTTGAAAGGCAGAGTTACAGAGAGGCAGAGGCAGAGGCAGAGAGAGGTCTTCCGTTCACTGGTTCACTCACCAAATGGCCACGATGGCTGGAGCTGGGCTGAGTTGAAGCCAGGAGCCAGGAGCTTCTTCCTGGTTTCCCACGTGGCTGCAGGGGGTACAAGCACTTGGGCCATCTTCTACTGCTTTCCCAGGCCATGGCAGAGAGCTGGATGGGAAGTGGAGCAGCTGTGACTTGAACCGGCGCCCACATAGGATGCTAGCACTGCAGGTGGTGGCCTTACCTGCTACGTCATAGCGCTGGCTCTGCAGATTTTTAAAGTTCAAGGAAAACAGTTCATGGCCAGAGACTCTAAAGAGAACATGAAGCAAGAGAATGGGAAGTACTCAGAAATAAGACCTGATGATATTTCCCAGCGAGAAATCCTTCCAGCTGACTCATTCTACTGGCATTTCCATTCCTGTCATATTCCTCAACATATCAAGTCCTCCAATTAATTGACATTTTCTTTTTTTAATTATTATTATTAGACAGGCAGAGTTAGACAGTGAGAGAAACAGAGAGAAAGGTCTTCCTTTCGTTGGTTCACCCCACAAATGGCCGCCACAGCCGGCGTGCTGTGCCGATCTGAAGCCAGGAGCCAGGTGCTTCTCCCTAGTCTCCCACGCGGGTGCAGGTGCCCAAGCGCCTGGGCCATCCTCCACTGCACTCCCGGGCCACAGCAGAGAGCTGGACTGGAAGAGGAGCAACTGGGACTAGAACCTGGTGCCCATATGGATGCTGGCGCTGCAGGCAGAGGATCAACCAAGTGAGCCACGGCACCAGCCCCAACATTTTCAAATTTCCACAATTTATTATTTTCTTCATGTCTTTATTTTCCTCCTAATCCAATTTAGATTCTAGGTATGGTTCATTATCATCATTCCTTTGTAAAACTAGGAATGTACTTATCAAGAAAGTTCTATACCTATATGAAGAAGATGTTAACAGTGCACTGAAAAGACCTTAACAGGAGACTTGCACAAATGAAAAGGTTTAAATGGTTCTTGGATAGGAAGACTCAGCTTCAAAAGTATGTCAGCTTAATGAGAAACAAGCACGGCCCAAAAAGTTTGAAAAGGGGCATCAGTGAGGAGAGCAAGTCCAACAAACTATTAAAAATATCATAAATTATTAGTAATGAATGATACAATATAAGTGGAGGGAGAAATGGGCTCCTTACCCTATATGTTTACAAAGATAAATTTTAGATGGATCAAAGATTTAAAGTGAAAATGAAAACTACAAAGAAGAATGTTTTCATTACCTTAAAGCATTAAAAACTTCTAATTATGAGTTCAAATTTAGAAGCCATAAAAGAAAAGGATGAGTACAAAATAAACAAGCGAAAACCTTCTGCATCTCACACACACACACACACACGAAAGTCGAAAAGCAAGCAGTAAATGTGGGAGAAAATTTAACTTTGATCCTACATGAAGGGATAGTTCCTTGAATATATAAAGAGCACAAATAAATGAATAAGAAAAATATAAGTATCTCAATTAAAAAAAGGGGGAGAGGGCTAACAGGCACAGCTAGTTAAGCTATGGCCTGCAGTGCCAGCATCCCACATGGGCACCAGTTCAAGTCCTGGCTGCTCCACTTGATATCCAACTCCTTGCCAATGTGCCTAGGAAAGCAGCAGAAGATGGCCAAAGGGCTTGGACCCTGAACCCACTTTGGAGACCCAGAAGAAACTCCTGGATCCTGGCTTCAGACTGACCCAGATCAGTCTGTTGTGAGCATCTGAGTTGTGAACCAGTGGGTGGAAGATCCCTCTTTTACTGCCTCTCTGTGTCACTCTGCCTTTCAAATAACCATGTAAATATTTTAAAATGAGCAAAGCATATGAAGAGACAGTTCAGAGGATATGAAGGTTCTTACACCATGGAGAGGCTCAGCAGACTCATAAGAGATGCAAATTAAAAGTATCAATTTACCTTTATCATATTGGCAACAATTCAAACATTTGATAAAAGTTTGGCAAGACTGCAGGAAAACAGGCATGCTAAGAAATTATGCAAATATCAATTGATGCAATCCCTATGGAAGACAATTATCAACGTTAATCAAAATAGTACCTTGGGGCCAGTGCTGTGGTGTAGCAGGTTAAAGTTGCTGCCTGCAGTACCAGCATCCCGTAGGGATGCCAGTTCAAGACCCGGCTGCTCCACTTCTGATCCAGCTCTCTGCTGTGGCCTGGGAAAGTGGTAGAAGATTGCCCAAGTCCTTGGGCCCCTGAACCCATGTGGGAGACCTGGAAGAAACTCCTGGCTCCTGGCTTCGGATCAGTGCAGCTCCAGCCATTGCAGCCAATTGGGAAGTGAAACAGTGAATGGAAGACTTCTCTCTCTGCTTGTCTTTCTCTGTGTAACTCTGACTTATAAATAAATAAATAAATCTTTAAAAAAATAATACCTGAATATACACTCGACTCAGTCTTCACAATTTTGGAGATTTACCCGACAGGTGCGCTGCATCTATGTAGAATGGTCTGTGCATATGTTACACGATTTAATGATTTATGCATGTGTTTATTCATTATGATGTTATTTAGCCACAGACTGGAAGTAACTCAAGTGTTCATAGATTCTGACTAAATAAACATTATAAGTATACAAAAGGATGTTATGAATGAGGAAGCTCTTGGTGTACTCATAAAAGGTCTCTAAGATATACTGTTAGGTGAGAAGATTGTACTATGCTACCTTTTGTGCAAAAAGAAAAGTAAGGTAACATGGATGTATACTTACAATTGCTCAGGTTAGCAAAAGAAACTCTGGAAAGAAAACAGAGACTTAGAAAAAAGTCATTCCCTTGCAAACCTATTTAGCATCCTTGTTGTTCCCTTTTTCACTTGCTTAGGCAAACTCTGGCTACGATCAAACCCAACTGATGGGGCCAGCACTGTGGCATAGCTGGTAAAGCCACTTCCTGCAGTGCCGGCATCCCATATGGGCACCGGTTTGAGTCCCGGCCACTCCACTTCTGATCCAGCTCTCTGCTATGGCCTGGGAAAGCAGTAGAAGATGGCCCAAGTCCTTGCCCCCCTGCACCTGCGTGGGAAATCTGGAACAGGCTCCTGGCTCCTAGGTCTTGCAACGGCTGTCTGGAGAGTAAACCAGGGGATGGAAGACCTCTCTCTCTCTCTGCCTCTCCTTCTCTCTGTGTAACTCTTTCAAAGACATAAATAAATCTTAAAAAAATGTACTTTGGTTAAAAAACAACTACATGGGGCTGGCGCTATGGCCTAGTGGGTTGAGGAGCTGCCTGCAGTGCTGGCATTCCAATATAGGTGCCGGTTCAAGTCCAGAGTGCTTCACTTCTGATCCAGCTCCCTGCTAATGTGCCTTTGGAAAGCAGTGGAAGATGGCCCAAGTTCTTGGGTCCTTGCACCCACATGGGAGACCCAGAAGAAGCTCCTGGCTCCTTGCTTCAGATTGGCTTGGCTCTGGTCATTGTGGCCATTTGGAGAGTGAACCAGCAGATGGAAGACTCTCTGACTCTCCCTCTACTCCTCCCCCCCGTAACTGCCTTTCAAATAAATAAATAAATCTTAAAAAAAAAAAGTGCACAAGCATGGCATATGGGAGAATGGTTTAATTGCAGTTCAAGTAAAAATAAAAAGCTATGTGTTTTTGTTTGTTGCAAATTGGATATAACAAATTCAATAGTGTAATATGGCTACTATATTTAGGAATGCATTTTTATTTTATTTTAAAGATATATCCACCTATTTGAGAGGCAGAGTTACAGAGAGAGGAGAGACAGAGATCTTCCATTAGCTGGTTCACTCCCCAAATGGCTGCATTGACTGCAACTAGGCCAGGCCAAAGCCAGGAGCCAGGAGCATCTTCCAGGTCTTCCACATGGGTGACTGGGGCGAAGTACTCAGGCCATCCTCCACTGCTTTCCCAGGCTCATTAACAGGGAGCTGGATAGGAAGCGGAGCAGCTGGGACTCAGATTGCTGCCCATGTGGGATGCTGGCACTGCAAGCTTTGGCTTAACCCGCTGCACCACAGTGCCGGCCCCTGGAAATGCATGTTTAGACAGTAAGTAAAAATGATGAAGATAGCTTTCATTTCAATGCTTAAAATGTGGTAGGCGCTGTACTTTGCTTTTACATTATTACATATAATTTAATCTTTACTTTGCTATAAGGTAAGTGATATAACTGTCATCACAAGTACCTTCTGGATGCAAAAAGTTTCAGAGAGATGTGAACCGGCCAATGACAGAAAGATAGAGGTTAGGGAATTGCATCTGACTTGAGAACTATCTATCTCCTGGGGAGATGTCTTCTCCAGTGCCTGGTTCCATTCTTGGTATAGTAACAAAACAAGGGGTTGTCCAGAGGAGGGAGAGTCCTTCTGGGAGGGTTATGCACCTGTGTCTCATGAAGACAACTGAAAGGATATAAAAATATTTGGCTCAGAGAAAGAAAGGTTTACGAGGCTCATAAGTGTCTCAAAATAGGGACAGGCATTTGGCGGAGCTTGGGATGTCCACATTGCACGTCAGAGTGCCTCGGTTCAAGTCCTAGCTCTACTCCCAGTCCAATTTCCTGCTAATGCAGACCCTGGGAGGCAGCAGGTGATGGCTCAAGTAGCTGGGTCTCTGCCACCCACACGGGAGACCTGGATTGTGTTCCTGGCTTCTGGCTGCCGCTTAGCTCAACTCTAGCTATTGTGTGCTTTTGCAAAATGAACGAGCAGATGAGCAATCTGTCTGTTTCTTTCTCTTCCTGCCTTTAAGTATATAAATAATTGAAGACAGTGAGGCTGGCATTGTGGCACAGTGGGTTAAGCTGCTACTTGCCACTCTGGCACCCCAAATCGGAGTGCCTGTTTTGAGAGCTGACTTCTTGGCTTCTGATCCAGCTTCCCGCTACTGCATCTGGGAAGGCAGCAGAAGATGGTCTAAGTGCCTCAGCCCCTGCCACCCGCATGGAAGACCTGGTTGGAATTACTGGCTCCTGGCTTCAACTTGAACCAGACCTTGCTGTTAAGGACATTTGTGGAGCGAACCAGCAGGTGGAATATCTCTGTCTCTTTATCCCCCCTTTTCCTCTTGTTCTGCCTTTAAATAAATTAATAAATAAATAAATCTAAACAAAAACAAAAAATGGAAGAAATTGCTCTCAATGGCCAAGAATTCTTAGACATTTTGTGTTAACTTCAGAGAGGAATGGTTGGAAGTTCTTAGAGGCAGGGTCTAATTGGTTGAGAGGATGTTTTAACAATTAAGATTTGGATATAGGGGCCAGCACTGTGGCGTAACAGGTACAGCCGCCACCTCCAGTGCTGGCATCCCATATGTGCCAGTTCCAGTCTGGGCAGCTCAACTTCTGATTTAGCTCTCTGTTGTGGCCTGTGAAAGCAGTAGAAGATGGCCCAAGTGCTTGGGCCCCTGCACCCATGTGGGAGGCCTGGAAGAAGCTCCTGGCTCCTGATTTCCCATTGGCTCAGCTCCGGCTGTTGAGGCTATCTGGGGAAGTGAACCAGTAGATGGAAGACTTCTCTCTCTCTCTCTCTGCCTCTGCCTCTTTCTGCAACTCTACCTCTCAAATAAATAGATAAATAAATAAACAGTTGGACATAAAGCAGAATGGTCTGCTTCGAGAATTTTAGGAGTTTACACAGAGTATGTATAAACTGTTAGTGGTTGCATGAATCTTTCCTACATGGGGTGAGAGCTTGGCTTACATGATCTCTAAGATTACCTCTTCTTATCTAAAGACTATGACCAGCCTTTGAGTTCTTTTAAACCACAAGTTGCCCCACCTTAAAGTTTTCTCTGACAATCACAGTCGGCAGTGATTCCTTCTCCAATCTCTTCTCTCCCCCTACTCTTTACTATTATACTTTGTATATATGTCTCTCTATGCAGGACTTTAAATTTCCTTGAGGGTAAAGAACAGAACTTCCCCCTTGGCAGGCACTGAGATACTTGTTTCAATGTAGTGATAGGATGTTTCTCTTTGGGTTACTTATTGTCTTATTTCCTGTATTAGCCTTAGAAATAGATCGTCAACCCTTTGAAGTCAGGAATTGTCATTTATATTTATTTGCATTTCCCTACAGCACCCAGTAGATGCTTGACAAACACTGCTTTTAGTTGGGTGGAACTGGAAGTGAACTTTCATCAAAAGACATGTGAACAAAGGAATGTGAGTAAAGGTTAAGTTGGCACTTGGCACACTCATATCCCAGAGGAAGTAGTTCTGATCCAGCGTCCAGCTAATGCCCCCCTGGGACACAGTAGGTGATGGCTCAGACACTTAGGTCCCTGCCATCAAGTGGGAGACCCAGATTGAGATCAGGGCTCCTGGCTTTGGCCTGGCTCAGACCTGGCTGGTGTAGGCATTTGGGTGGGGAACCAGCACTCTCCATCTGTCTCTTTGTCTCCCTGACTTTTGAATAAAAAATGAAAATAATTAAAATTTTTTAAAAAGGTGAAAGAGGCAAAAAGGCAAAGACACCATTCTTTTGAATGAAAATAGGGACTTTTCACTTGCAATGAGAATTTTTTTCATGGAATTTTCCCACAGCCACCCTGAAGATATATTGCACAGTTGGAATTAAATCATTGTAAAACGGAAACTACAGATAATAATAAAGGCGTTGAGCATGGACTTCAAATAAAAGTGATGTAGCAGGGAGCTTGGGTATCAACCCTCTATAGAAAAAGGGAGGCTTAGCACCCAAGTATTAGTCACAGCGAGAAGATAAATTTGAAACGTAGGACATCGGCCACCCAGAGATATGGACAGACCATGCGTGGCTCACTTCCTATCATCCGGGTGTGTTTTGTTTACCTCTGTTTAAAGTTCTTCTTTAATTCTGCTTTTCCCACTTCGGAGCCGAGCGCTGCTTCCCCTGCCTTGTCCCTTTCCTCCTCCCGCAGCTCAGCGTTCAAAGTCCGTGGGTGCTGGGTGGGGTGGACAGAGTAACTCCTAGCCCGGTCTCCTCCCCGCACCCTCCCGTACAAGTGAGTGTTGCTCACAGGCCATAGGATGGAACCAAGGTTTATGGAGCGGCAAGCAATTTACATTTAAACAAACCAACCCAGTCCCCGAGAGCCGCACGGCCGCACGCTTCTCCCTAGAGGTACAGTGCTGTCCTCCATCTCCAACTCAGAACCCAGCCAGTCAGAAAGTCCCTACTTCAGGACCACAGCCCAATCAGGGGGCTCTCACCTGCCGAAGGTGAGGAATCCGAGGCAACCTCCTGGGGCCAATCAGAGGCGGCTCGGACACGCAAGGCGCCAATCCGACTCTGGGGTGAGTAATGGGCTGGGTTTGCACCTGGCTAAGGTGAGTCACTCATCGGAGCGGCGGCTCTCTCCGCCAATCAGAATGTGCAGGGGCGGGGCGCTGGCCAATCGGGTATAGAGGGCAGGGCTGGGCGGGGCTCAACCTGGCGGCTGGAGTTTAGTCCCCGCGCTGCTGTTGGCGAAGTTGCGTGTGTTCCCGGCGGCTCCGGCGGCTGTGGTCTGCGGGATCTATTCGCGATGGGGACAAAGGCAGGAGCCTGGCGGAAACAGTTGCTTCTCTTCACCTCGGCGGTGCTGTGTAAGTTCCCGGAGTTTCGGCAGGAATCGGTGGGTCGGGTCAGAGGTTGGAGGAGGACGCTTCCCACGCCCCTTGCCCGGGGGAGGGGGAGGAGCTCAGGAACCTGGCGGCCTCTCCTTTCGCTTCCTCTCCTCCACCCCGCCTGGTCCCCCTCCGCCCGGTGCGCCGCTGGCTCCCTTCCCCCACCGGTGAGCTGTGGGGCGGGGGAGGTGCCGCTTCTGCACGCAGCCCGAGGACGTGGGGAGAGCCGCTCGCCTACTCCCGCATCCTCGCTGCTGGCGGGGCCGGCGGGCGCCGGGACCCTCCCCGCACACGGCCGCCGGGCCGTCCCCGTTCGCTCCCGCGCGCACCCGACCTCCATCAGTCCCCCGAGGGAGGCGCGAGCCGCTCACCCCTGGCTCCCTGGGCTCCGGAGGGGTCCTCGCGGGAAAAGCCACGGAGTGGGCCAGGGTGGAAGTCCCTTTCCTTGGCTTTTGCTGAGGGGGGTCTCTGGTTACTGCGGTTGCTCGGGGGGAACAGTATGTGGGTGCCGATTCTGAATTGGAAATTAAATTGAAATCTGTAGTTTCTCAGGACACAGCACTCAACGTCCCTTTCTGGACTAGCCACCGGGGAGTTGTGAAATGTTGACTGGGTGGCGATTCCCAGGGGCAGGCTGTGGCCCTTGGTTGGCTGGATTCAGAGCCCCGACGCTGCCCTCCCCCTGGTCGCCTATCAGAGGTTTTGTTTCTTTTGGAAACTCCCTTTCCTGAGGAACAATGAGATTCGCTTGCTGGGGCCTGTTTCTGTCTAGGTGTGTTTGCGGGGAGCTGAGTGTGCAGTCTGTTGGTTTGTGCCTTAGCTTACTGGTGTCAGCACCCGTCTGATTCTTAGTTGCACCCGTGGGTGTGCTTGTGTCAGGATGTGTTCTGTGTGCTGCTGTTTCCTCTCCAGCTTCATGTTTTAGGAAATGTAAAAGAAATGGAGGATTACAGTCAGTAATTAGAAAGCAATCCATTTTGCTCTCGTTGAAGGCAGAGAAAGATTGTTTGGTCTGAGATGCGTTGATCACTCCTTTATCCCTTATCACAAAAACGTAAACACATTGACTGGACTACTGGCAAGTCTAATTCCTTCCCTGTGGTACAGATAAGGAAACAAGTCCCAAGCGGGAAATGACTTTCCCAGCCTGATTAGAGTGAGGGTTGGAGGTAGAACCTGGGAGTGGAAGCACGCTCGGGACACACTGCTCCACTCTGCATCCAGCCTCTCCAGCACGGGCAGAGTCTACTTCTTCTGACGTTTTCTCTCCCACTAGGTTCTTCCTACTTTTCCTGCTCCCTATCATTTTACTCTTCCATTTGCCTTTTTAAAAAGGCCCCCCCCCTTTTTTTTCTACACCTCACCTGTTTTGCTTCTGCCTGTATCTTTTTTTTTAAGATTTATTTTTTATTTATTTGAAAGTCTGACTTCAGAGAGAGAAAGAGAGAGAGATCGATCTTCTGCTCACTGGTTCACTCCCCAAATGATCTCAACAGCTTGGTCTGTGTCACGCCAAAGCCAGGAGCCTGGAACTCCATCCAGGACTTGAACCAGGCTCATATGGGATGCCAACACTGCAGATGGCATCCTAACCCACTGTGTCACATTGTCCGCCCCTTACTGTATCAGCACGGCTAGTGAATCTGTGGTCATTTTTTGATTCAAAGCGCTAAAGACTTTGCCAACCAGCATTTCCCCCACCAAACCCAGAAGTTTCTTCTGAGTCGGTGACTTGATTTCTAACAGTTTTGGTCAGTGACATTATTTGTCAGACTTAAAAACTTCCTGGAGCTGCTTCCTCCCCCACCCCATCCTTCCTTTACCCCTGTTTCCTATATTATTTATGGTAATCCCGCACTAAGCGCGTACTGGCGCTGAAAGGATGGTGCTAGCAACACTTGAGCTTTGGAGGAATCTTCAGGGAACCTAGCCTCTGTGGTTCAGAGGCACCCTGAATGATGTTGTCCTTGCCTGGTGCAATGCTGGGTCCTGAGAGATAGCATGTCCAGGGGATGGAGGAACGGGGCTTGTCTTTTATTTTTTTATTGTTGAAGGGCAGTCCCTCCCGGCCTGTGTTGACTAAGAGGAGAGACTGACAAAGCTGATAAAACTTTGGACAGGCTGGGTTGGTTGGAACTTTTTTTTTTTTTTTTTTTTTTGACAGAGTTAGAGAGAGAGAGACAGACAGAGAGAAAGATCTCCCTTCCATTGGTTCACTCCCCAAATCGGTGCTCTGTGCCGATCCGAAGCCAGGAGCCAGGTGCTTCCTCCTGGTCTCCCATGCGGGTGCAGGGCCCAAGCACTTGGGCCATCCTCCACTGCACTCCCAGGCCATAGCAGAGAGCTGGACTGGAAGAGGAGCAACCGGGACTAGAACCCGATGCCCCAAACGGGACTAGAACCCGGCGCCCCAACCGGGACTAGAACCCCGGGGTGCTGGCGCCGCAGGATTAGCCAAGTGAGCCGACCATGGGTCTTGTCATTTTTAAATTAGGACATAGTGGGGTGGGGGAGTGCAGAAGCGGAAGGAAGTGGAAGCCAGGCCACCCTCCCTGGACTCCAGCGTGGCTTCCTCTCTGCCTTGTTTGTGACTCTGTCTGCTAGACTAGTCGCTTAGTCTCTTCATCTGTAAAGCAGGAGTAATGATACATTCCTACCCTGGTCATGAAGATCAACAGGTGTGATAGCTGCATGACCTTTACACGCTGGGCTTCTTGCTGGGCGGCTCTTACCCTTTCAGATTTTGTGAGGACAAAAGGATGCTGCCCCCAGGAGAGTAGGTCTGGGGAAACAGGGAGACCCCAATGGCTGGAGTCACAGAGCTGGTTAATCTGTCTGGGATGTCTGACGCATATACAGGTTGCCCGTATGTCCTTCCCCTTCCCTCCAGGGGTGCTCCTCATTGTGGGTGCTGCCATCAGGGAGGAAGAAGAAGGGGCAAGCTAGGACAGACAAGCCAAGTGACAGGCAGGGGTGCACAGGCTGGACACCGGGAGAGCTGGGCTCGGGGACAGTGGAGCTGGTGATCCGGAGTCCACACTGCCAGTTTCCCTTTCCCCGGATAACTGTACTTGGAAAAGTTCAGGTGTCTCCCAGGCAGAGGAAGTGTTGGGTAAGTCGGCTTTGGGTGTAGCCATGGGGGTGGGGAGTGGGGAAATGTGGGTTGGGGTGCAGCTGGCTGTGGCTCCCCTGCGCCTTATGAGAGTGGGGTGTTCCTGGAGGGGAGCCAGAGCAGTTTCTGGGTCCTGTTGTTTTCCCTACTGCAGGTTCTGGCTCAGGCCCTTCTGGCTTTGTTATTCAGGGACATTTAACACGAAACTGTAGGTGGATGAGTCACTCTTACCACTCCCCCCCCACCCCAACTCCCAGTAAGGAATTGTCCCCTCCCACAAACCTGAAACTCTGGAAGTAGGAATTCCAGGGCCTTACTCTTTCCCTCCTGGCTCCAGAACACTTTCACTTTGACCATGTCTTCTCTTTCAGGTCCTTCGCAGGTTTTGTCTGGAGTCTCTAGCCTTGTTCTGGTTTGGGATAGGGATGTGCTGATTTTAAAACATTAGTCCTTTAGAATAGGGTGGGCATTGGCAGGGTGGGCATTTAGTATAGTGCTTAAGCTACCATTTGCTTTGCCTGCAACCCGCATCAGCAGATGATGGCCCAAGTACTTGGGGTCCCGGCCATTCATGTGGGAAACTTGGGTTGGTGTCAGTGCTCCTGGCTTTGGCTCTGTTGCAGGCATTTGAGGAGAGAACCAGCAGATGGAAGGTCTGTCTCTGTCTCACTGCCTTTCAGATAAATAAATAAAACTTTTTTTTTTTTAATATAACACTTTATTTTTTTTTATTTATTTATTTTTCGACAGGCAGAGTGGACAGTGAGAGAGAGAGACAGAGAGAAAGGTCTTCCTTTGCCGTTGGTTCACCCTCCAATGGCCGCCGGCGCGCTGCGGCCGGTGCACCGCGCTGATCCGATGGCAGGAGCCAGGAGCCAGGTGCTTTTCCTGGTCTCCCATGGGGTGCAGGGCCCAAGCACCTGGGCCATCCTCCACTGCACTCCCTGGCCACAGCAGAGAGCTGGCCTGGAAGAGGGGCAACCGGGACAGAATCCGGCGCCCCAACCGGGACTAGAACCCGGTGTGCCGGCGCCGCTAGGCGGAGGATTAGCCTAGTGAGCTGAGGCGCCGGCCAATAAATAAAACTTTTGAAGTTTGGTTGAATTCAACATGAAGCCCTTTGGTCTTGGGTTTTTTTTTGCTTCTGTTAAGAAAAAAGGTTAGTTGACATGGTTTGAGAATCGTGATGACAGGGGTGTTCGGTGTTACTCTATCTGTTCTATTTCATCCCACACCCTCCCCCCTGGTGTCTTAGGTATCCTTCTAGTATTGTGTTGTACAGATACAACTAAAAATAAAAACATACTTGTTTATTTCTCCCTTTTCCTGTATAAGAAGAGGCATACTCTGTACATCCTATTGCATCTTGATTAGTTCATTTAATGTATCCTGGAAATCTTCTCATACTGGCATTGTTGGTACGGTGGACTTGGCTGTTAGGATCCACCCTGCCCACACACACATAGACTCAGCTGAATTCAAGGGGTCCTTGTTCTCTGGATAACAGAAATGGCTGGCCCCACCGCCGTCTCCCACCCAAAGATAGATTTAAAAGCTACACACATTACATGTGATAGATTGGGAAATAACGGGACTTGTTTTTCATGTCTGTTGGCTTTGGGGAGAGACCCTGGGGATCTCTTTAACTCCAACCTGCTTCCTTTTCAGAGGTTCAGGAAAGAGCTGGAGAACCACTCACAGTATTGTGAAGGGCTGTGGGAGCCAGTATGAGTAGACACGTATTGGGGTTTTCCAGGCATTGAAAACCTGGAGTTCATCTGCCTGCGACTGCCTGATAAGCAGAGTTTCTGTCTAAAGTCCAGCCTGTGTCGTTTGTTTGACAGTGTGGGGGTGGGGCAGAGGAAAC